CCGGAGGTAAACAGAGCGCCGTTTCCTCTTCTGTGTAGCTGTCGTCAGACTCAGCATCAGTTCCAGTTGGAATTATTCTGGCCTTTCTGAATCCCGACAGGATGGTTTCTGTGTCACTGAAGTCCAGGCTTTGTCCATCCATCCAGTGACTTCAGGAAAGTTTCATACAAACTTTCTTTCTGCTGCTGGATTACCATTTCCGGCTGCGTATTTCGCTGCTTGCAGTTTGTAATCTGCAAATTATGATTTTCTTTTTGGGGGCATTTGTGTTCAGTCTTCTCAGTTGTCTTAATGAATTTATTTAAATTTTAAATTTTCAGGGGTGCGAGGCTCTTTCTGCAGGAGACATGAGCAGTAGAGTGAAGTGACAGTGGTACAGGAGTAATAGCAGTAGCAGATACTGACACACATGACTAGAGCCTCTCGAGGCTTCAGTGTGAAAATTTTAATATGCAAGTCGCACCGGAGTATAAGAAGCAGGAAACACCCAAACCATGAAAAAAAAGTGTGACTTATAGTCTGAAAAATGCAGTCGTCTAATCTGTCATACACTTTAATGTTGGGGTTTAGTTTGGGGTTAGGCAAGCGGTGAATACAAACTATTTTTTAGACTCCCTTTTATTCTCTGGGTTTTAACACTGTGTGAATTGTGAGGACCTCTGGTGTCTTTTATTGCTTTTATTAATCTATTTTATCGTTTTAATTTTCACTCTGTTGTTTTTATTGTTTTAATATTTGTATTCTATTTTATGGTTTCATTTATTATGTGACATAATAGATTTTATTACACTACCGTGAACAATTGTGAAAAGAGCGTTTGTCCACTGATCCAAAGGTTGGCGGTTCAAATCTCGCCCTCGACATTACCGGTTGTCAGATCCATGATTCCAGCTTTCACAGATGAATACTGTTGATGTGTCCTTGGGCAAGACACCCCCAGTGAGTAGTTCCTTGATGTAAAGTGCTTTGAGACTTGAAGGTGGAAAAGAGCTACAGTGTATATAAAGGTGACCATTTACCATTTACTAGACCAGTCATGATAACACATTTTATCTTAGCAAATCGTATCCTAGAGTCAAAAATAAAAGAAAGAAAGAAAGAAAGAAAATTTTGTACACATGATAACTACTGACCAAAAATATATAGCGAATACATAAAGCAAGATGTCTGGAATTATGTAGCAAAGAAACGCTAAATTGACTCTAAATATGTGTTATATTTTTGATTCAGAGTCGTCAAAGTATCCTCCCTTTTCTTTGTGGACAGTGCCGCAAACCATCGGCTTTCTCTCGGTGACCTTCATGATGATTTCACCTGAAATGGTTTTCACGTCACACATGTGTCATGTTGGGGTTCATTAGTGACTTAGTGAGCATGTAAATCAGTGATCAAAGCAAACGGTAAAGGCCAAATTGAAGAGTCTAAATTATATAATACATGATTTGAGTGATTGATTCTGCATTTTTAGGGAATCACCAATGTAAAAAGCCATGAAAATAAAGAAAAACTAATTCAAATGTGTATGAAAGTGTATACATTGAAAAAAAAAAAACTCAAATCTAGCCAAGTTAAGATGCCTTGAATTAAAAAGTTTCATCATGATTTGCAGTGTTGTGCAAGTTCACACTTTTCATGAACTAGTTCAAAGTTCAGTTCACACTTGTTCAAAGTGAATAGTTCACGTTCATAGTTCACAATTTTAATTTAGAACTAGTTCAAAGTTCAGTTCATTTTATATTTAGATGAGATCTGTAAATGAAAGGCTGCATTTATTTTTCAAACTCACTTCTAGTTTACAACAACTTTACAAGATCCACTGTTGGACAAGTGACTTTAAAACTGTAATGTGTTATTTATGACTTGTTACTGTCATTTGTTACATTACAATATTACTGTATTTAAAATGTAAAACATTACATGACTATTACAGCACTTTTAATTTACTCTCACCAAAAGAACTGTTAAGATGCTGAACTTTTGCGCCGTATATGGACTAAACCAGGACTAAACCAGGTCTAAACCAGGTCTAAACCAGGACTAAACCAGAACTGAACCAGGTCTAAACCAGGACTGAACCAGAACTGAACCAGGACTGAACCAGGTCCAAACCAGGACTAAACCAGGACTAAACCAGGTCTAAACCAGGACTAAACCAGGACTAAACCAGGTCTATACTAGAACTGAGCCAGGACTAAACCAGAGCTGAACCAGGTCTAAACCAGGACTGAACCAGGTCTAAACCAGAACTAAACCAGGACTAAACCAGAACTGAACCAGGACTGAACCAGGTCTAAACCAGGAATAAACCAAGACTAAACCAGGACTGAACCAGAATTGAAGCAGGTCTAAACCAGGACTGAACCAGGACTGAACCAGGACTGAACCAGGACTAAACCAGAACTGAACCAGGACTAAACCAGGTCTAAACCAGAACTGAACCAGGACTAAACCAGGACCAAACCAGGACTAGAACTTGGAATCTAGGACCGCCCCTGAGAGAACCCCGAGTGCGATCGGGCGTCAGCTGCGTTTATCTCGGTGGAGCTCGGACTTCTGCGTCGGTCCTTTCGCTCAGGATCACGGTCTACGCGGGCGCACCTCCGGCGTTTCACCGCTGCTGATATCGCGGTGATTTTAGCAAATTTGTATGAAGAAAAACGAAAAAGCCACCATTTCAATCCAGGTTAAAAAAGCATTGTGACGCGCGTTACTGACATATGTACCAAGTAAAATAATACGCGCGCGGAGCAGCACGTCCTGTGCGTGTAGATTTCAGAAAATAGGATCCATCCTATTTTTTGACGCTCTACACGAGCGTCGGCGCATATCCCCGTCAAAATCCACAGAGAGCATGGATCTGTTGTTGTATTTGTGCATTTACCATCAGCACATTGTGCTCCCTGGGCAGTTGTGGATCATGTGAAAGAGCCCAGATCCACACAGACTGTTAATTAGTGCTTTGAAATTTACTTTTGAAATCCTTGCGTTTGCCGTGGTCAGTCTGTACAGAAGGGAAATACAAGCAGCTAAACGCGCCCAGTCAAGTTTGATTGACTTTCCCATTGAGAGACACAAGAGCCCGTACGTTCCGCTAAAGCTGCCGGTGGAGTCGCCTTCGCGTTGACACGCGGCTGTGGTTTCGTTAAGTGCGAGCAGATCGTCACTCGTCAGGTGAAAACAAACTCCGACGTTTAACTGAACCCCAACAGTGACGTACGTCGTTCATCACACATAATTTGAACAAATTCACGTTCAAGTTCTTGATTTACAAAAGTGTTGCGTTCAGTTCAAAGTTCACTGAAAAATGAACGTGTTCATGCACAACACTGATGATTTGTCAGTTTCACTTACAAGTAAAATGATGGTAAATGGTCACATTTTTATACAACACTCACACACACACACACACACACACACACACACACATACACCAGTGTATGCACACACTCGACCGATGATGTTTATGTTGAGAGCGAGATTCAAAACGCCAGTCTTAACCTAACTACCAATGGAACGTTTTGTACTTAAAATATGAAAACACATTTAACTACATTTAAAATAAGAAAAACAACAAGTCTTTGCACTTAAAAGAAGAAACAAAATCGAATGTTGCTAGAAATAAGAAAAAGACACTTATTCCATCGGTAGATACTTTTACTTGTCAAGTTGAATTGACTCAGTAAAGTCAAATGTCCTTAATTGAAGTCATTTTAAATTGTGTAGATATAACTTTTTGCAGTGTAGGCCTGTTTTGAAGCATGATATATCGCTACAGAGACGGTGCGATAAACGATAACGATACAAAAGCAATAATGCAAGATAATCCCATCCACCCATTCATTTTCTTCCACTTATCCGGGGCCGCGTCGTGGGGGCAGCAATCTAAGCAGGGACTCCCAGACTTCCTTGCACCAAAGACCCAGTGGTCTCCCATCCAAGTACTAACCAGGCCTGACCCCGCTGATCGTCTGAGATCGGACGAGATCAGGCTTTAACAAACTGGTACAGCCACTTAGACAAACTTTGATCCACAAGGAAAACTACTTGGACCTAGTAGCTCACATATCACAAAATAATATAATAAGAGTAAAAATGTAAATGGTAATAATAAAATCTAAAGTTGCAAAAAAAAAAAAGCAAGAGACAGGTGTCAAATAAGGCATAATTATAGAAATATAAATGTATAAGTCAAAATAAAACTGGAAATAAGTAATAAAATATCTCAGCAATATACAAGAGGACATAAGGAAAAACAGTGTAAAGATGATACGATGATTGACAGGACACAAGGTTATCTGCTTCATAAGAGTCAGTTGTTGTTCAGTTGTAGGGAGTATTATTTGTTACATAAAGATGAGTTATTGTACAGTTATAGGGAGTATTATCAGGTTACATAAGTGTGAGTTGTTGTACAGTTGTAGGGAGTATTATCTGTTACATAAAGGTGAGTTGTTGTAGAGTTGTAGGGAGTATTATCATGTTACATAAGTGTGAGTTGTCGTACAGTTGTAGGGAGTATTATCTGTTACATAAAGGTGAGTTGTTGTTCAGTTGTAGGGAGTATTATCAGGTTACATAAGTGTGAGTTGTTGTATAGTTGTAGGGAGTATTATCTGTTACATAAAGGTGACTTGTTGTAGAGTTGTAGGGAGTATTATCTGTTACATAAAGGTGAGTTATTGTACAGTTGTAGGGAGTATTATCAGGTTACATAAGTGTGAGTTGTTGTACAGTTGTGGGGAGTATCATCTGTTACATAAAGATGAGTTGTTGTACAGTTGTAGGGAGTATTATCAGGTTACATAAGTGTGAGTTGTCGTACAGTTGTAGGGAGTATTATCTGTTACATAAAGATGAGTTGTTGTACAGTACAGTTGTAGGGTAACTTGGTTTTCTGACATGAATGACAAAAAATATCAACCTTTTTCACAATATTCAAATTTTTTCCGACGGACCAGTAAAGTGCATTGACTCATTTTGTCCCTGCGTGTCTCCCGTAGGTTGCTTCCTGTTTTGCTGGACTCCGTTTTTCGTCCTCCACACCCTGAGAGCCCGCTGTCAGGACTGCCACATCCCTCCGGTCCTCATGAGCGTGGTCACGTGGCTGGGTTACGTCAACAGCGCCCTCAACCCCGTCATCTACACCGTCTTCAACACCGAATTCAGGAACTACTTCAAAAAGTGTCTGCGAAGATGCTGTTCCTCCTTCTACACGTGAACTGACCCGATGTATGGACTTTGTCAGAGGAAGAGGTTGCATTCACGTAACATCACAGCGTTGTAGATTTCCGATAGTTTCAAACGGAGCTGGAGGACAGGTTAGAATTCTGTAGCGGAATTTGCTGTTTGAAGGGCCTGTATTACACTGTTTTCTGCTCTATGTTCTAATGTAGTTTCTTCATCACAAACAGAAATGGAGCTGTGTTTTGTTTCATTCACATTTTTAACACACAAACCATGCACATTTAGGCTGCATTCTCTCAAACAGAAAACACTCCAGACATCTTCACTAGAATCATTTGGATAATTTCAGCCCTGGAATTGTCAATTAGAGGTCCGCACGGGACAGAATTTTCAGTCCCGCTCCCACGCTGCGCAGTCCTGCTCCTGCTTGTTCCCACAAAGAATTGTAATTTTCAGTCCCGCTCCCTCCCGCATCTGCGATATTTTGTCTCGCTCCCGCCTGCAAGTCCCACAGCATGGGAACCTTTGCTTTCTAAAGCTCTATCAAACACGGAGAAGCGGAAGGAATTGGGCTGCGTATGGGAGGAGGCGCGGTGGGCAGTCCAGCGGCATGGTTAAGTCCTGGCTAAATCCTGTTTTAGTCCTATATTAGTCCTGGTTTTAGACCTAGTTTTAGACCTGGTTTTAGACCTGGTTTTAGTTCTGGTTTAGTTCTGGGACTCTCCGCGCAGGGTACAGGACAGGGGACAGTCTGTTGCTTAAAATGTTTTTATTAATACCAAATAAAATATTCAGCACAAATTATGTATGATATGCTTACATTCATCATTTGTATATTTTACTTTACACTCATATTTAATTTGTGGGGCTGCAGTTTATTATCCCACCCGCCCAGTCCTGCGTTGTGCAGTCCTGCTCCCGCCCGCACTCCCAGTGAGCTTTCAAAATGTGTCCCGCGCCGCACTGTTTTGTGTCAGGTACCACAGGGCTCTATTGCCAATCTCTACTGAACTAAAGGTAAAAGGAGATGGAAACTTAACTACCACTACATGACATCACAAGGTGGAAGAGAGCATTTTCAGCTTCAGAGATGTAGACAGACTAATAATAAAGACTTAGGTTACGTTTACACTGAAACAAATCACTGTATCACTGTATCAGAAACGATTTGTGTCCAGACACGTCATTTCTGTGTCCGCAGTCCTTCCCTATCCACACAACTTTGAGTATATTTGTTTACGTTTTACAGAAATTTAATTTAAAACCACATGGCTCATTTGCATAAACTAAGCGCTCAGAAAACACTAAAGGACATGACTCAGTAGAATACATGTGTTTTTTCTGTGACAGAGGGGTGTTCTCCTGATAGTGAGTCTGCTCTGTGTAAGTAGTTAGAGCTCCCCTGTTTCCTGTTTGTCCGTTGTTTTCCACAATAGACCACATGACCGATGTCACAAACCCAGCGAATCAGGAAGGAGCAAGTCACAGTGACATGGTCCAATAAGGATTCCACTAGAGATCCTACGTCAGCGTATCAGTGTTTTCAGGCGTCCACACTGTGCCGGATCAGATCTGAACTCAGATGAATTGGTGGGAGCTGGCGACACCAGGTCGTTCCATCTCTGGAACCGTTTTCCATCGGATTAGTGTGAACGAACACTGTATCCACAACGAAAATGACTCGAATATGTACTAGTGTGGATGGGCCTTTACTCAAACATGTGTAAATGAAACAAAACACAACTTTAGGTATATTTTTGATGAGGTAACAACAGGAGACAATTTTGTGTGGGACCTTTAACTGTCACATGAAACAAAAACTGGCACAAACTTGAGCGGTTTCTCTGTCTGTATAAATAAACTAAAGAGAAATGATTTTTTCATGATGTGTTATAAATCTGAAGAACTGCAAAGGCCCCTTATGAGTGGCAGTAGCTCATTTGGTAGGAGCATTTGTCCACTGATCTGAAAGTTGGTGGTTTGAATTGTTGTGTCCTTGGGCAAGACACTTAACCCACCTCGCCCCTAGTGTCTGTGTACACTGGTGTGTGAGTGTGTGTGTGTGTGTGTGTAAATGGGTGAGTGATTCCTTGTTGTAAAGTGCAATATAAAAATGTGACCATTTACCATTTTGACCATTTATTATGCAGAATTGCCTCTTGTGAGCTTTAAGCCACGTTAGAACGCTGTTACCTCCTCAAAAACACACCTGCTGTTTTGTTTCACTCACATACTTTAGTAAATCATTCAAGTCAACAGCTCCTTTTACTTTTTGGTCAGTTTACTTTTTGGTAATTCCAGGTCTGAAATCATCCAAGTGATTTTAATGATGATGTATGGAGTTCAAAAACACAATGGAGCACTTCCTGTATTGACATCACAAGGTGGAACAGAGTGTTCTTTGTTTGAGAGAAGAGGTCAGCCTAAATATGCAGCGTTTGTGTGTTAAACATGAAACATGCTTGAATGAAACAAACACACCTCCAGGTCTGTTTGTGAATATTAAATATTATAACATGGATTCAAAATAAGCGTAATATGGCCCTTTAAGTCACAAGATTAATGTGGTAAGTTATGGTATATGGTATGGTGTTTCAAATGTTCAACATTTGTGAATCAAAAGTTTAGAAATTTCTTTCAGAAACAGGGAATCTCCTGTAGGGTTACATAGTCCCCAGCCCTCCATCTGAAATTCATCAAATCCTAGAACGTGAACGCAGCCAATTACAAAGAGATATGGACAATAAAGTTGACGACAGCAAAGTCTGTTTAAAAAGAAATGCATTTTGTATATTCAGCTGATACTTTGCAAATAAAAGTTTTCATATCTAATCTTTTGGTTTTTCATGAGAATAATTTGATTTGAATCTTCTACCTGTAGCTCTCTATTACGATGTAGTGTTGGTCCAGTACTAAAGTTCTTTTCTACTCCCTGTATGTGTGTAATCCCTCAGAGGTGCAGGTAGGTTCCAGTGATCCAGGGTGTATACTAGTCTATGTGCTCTTATACTTGTTCTGATACAACTCAACATCATTCTGAAGACATTCAGGAAAGGCTCATTTCTGTCCTGTGAATGGGACTTTTTTAGTGTTGATTTCTGCTCAAATAAGTATTTAGTTTTGGCATTAGTTTTGGTACTGATTAATATCTGATCTTTGATACATTTCACAACACTTTTACAAAGGCAACAATGGTAAACTCAACATTAGGAATGAGACAAGACACAAAATCTTCAAGACGAGACAAGACACAACATTCAGCTCACGAGAACAAGATGAAATCTTGATATATATTTTTAATAAATGAACGGTGCCATTCAATTAACAATTTTGACTTCACTATTTTATATTTATCTCATTTTATATAGTTTTGAAGTCTTTGTAGCACTGCTTTTTGGAATTACAGCATTTCAGGAAGTTATTCTGCAAAGTTAACTCCCTTTTTATCCAAGGCCAATGTAAAAACATGAAGAAAAAAGTCAAAAATCTAAATCAAAATGATCAGTTTCCACATGTGTACAAAGTCTTGCTTGGGGCAATGTTGTCTCGTGAGATCTTGTGGTACGAGATCTTGTCCCATCCCTACTCAAAGATACCAGTCACATCAGCAGAATATTTTAAGAAAATAAGGGAAAAAAAAACAATAACACATATGATTTTTTTTTTTAAACTTTTTATTACAAAAAAGTAAGTTGTGCTGTACAAACACTTCCATACTGGACTACTCAACTATCTTTAGACATGAAGTAAAAAAGGTACAAAATAAATAATTGTTTGAAATGACAAGATAAGAACAGGAGTTTGTGGGTTTCACTCCTGATCTCTCAAAGTCCTTAAAGGTGCATTATGCAAGTTATGGAGCAGTCAGATCTGTGGAGAGGCAAGCCTGCTCATAATAACAATGCATGTTTCTCGGTATCTGTGGCAATAAAAAACACCAGAAACTGAATAAAAGCTGGATGGGTAAGTTTAATGTATAGACTATATATATATACAGTCCCTGACAAAAGTCTTGTCGCTTATCCATTTTGTAGAAACAAAAGCTTATAACCTGACTTTAAATTCATCGATTGGTTTTAGAAATGTCTCATATGAAAGCTAAAACCCTCCCAAATTATGCTCAATATACTAAAATAAATTTGCTTCACTGAAGAAAGATTGATCATTTAATGAACACAGAAAGGTCAGATTTTGGCAAGACAAAAGTCTTGTGCGCTTGTCATATGATGCACCCAATCCTAGATTACAGCCTCACCTGTGATCAGTTACTGATCAATCAATTAGTGGGTGTGTATAAAAAGAACCCAGCACACCAGACCTTCACATCAACTGCAACTTGACCTCTGACAACATGCCTAAGATCCATCCTGAGACCAAAGCGTTAATTATCAAGAGGCTGAAGACCAGATCCACTGCTGAGGTGGTGACACCTTCAATGTGTCTCAGCGTCAAGTACAAAGAATAAGAAAAAGATCTGAAATGACTGGAGATGTTTTTGACAAGCCCAGGTCCGGCAGACCCCGCAAGACAACTGCTCAGGAGGACCGTTTGTTGATTTGAAAATCCAAGGCCAGCCCCTTTTCCACTGCAGCAGACTCCACCAGGCCTGGTCACCTCAAGTCCCTGTGTCAACCACAACAGTTTGTAGAATTCTGTCTCGAAATGGCCTCCATGGTCGAATCAGTGCACAGAAACCAGCACTAAACAAAAGGCAATTAAAAAACCGTGTGGCATTTGCCAAGGCCCACAGCCTGCTAAAAGGATGGACACTGGAAAAGTGGCAGAAGGTGGATTTCTCAGATGAATCCTCGGTTGAATTACATCACAGCTGCCGCAATATTGCAGGAGACCTACTGGAGCCTACATGGATCCAAGATTCACCCAGAAAACAGTTAAGTTTGGTAGTGGAAAAATCATGGTCTGGGGTTCCATCCAGTATGGGGCTGTGCGAGACATTTGCAGGGTGGAAGGCAATATCAATAACCTAAAATATCAAGAAGTATTAGCTCCTCTTACATTCCCAACCATAAAAGGGGTCAAATTTTGCAGCAGGATGGTGCTCCATCACATACTTCTATCTCTACATCAAAGTTTCTCAAGGCGAAGAAGATCAAGGTGCTCCAGGACTGGCCAGCCCAGTCACCAGACATGAACATCATTGAGCAGGTCTGGGGTAGAATGAAAGAGGAAGCATGGAAGGCAAAACCAAAGAATCTTGATGAACTCTGGGAGGAATGTAAGACGCTTTCTTTGCTATTCCTGATGACTTCATCAACAAATTGTATGAATGATTGTCAAACCGCATGGATGCGTCCTTCAAGCTCATGGAAGTCATACAAAATATTAAATATGGATCTCACAGCACCACTACTTAATTCACTGATGTTATGCAACATATTTTTGTATTTGAAGTAAAATTATTTGTTCAATTTTCTGTAGGTGACAAAACTTTTGTCTTGCCAAAATCTGACCTTTCTATGTTCATTAAATGATCAATCTTTCCTTCAGTGAAGCAAATTTATTTTAGTTTATTGAGCATAATTTGGGAGGGTTTTAGCTTTCATATGAGACATTTCTAAAACCAATCGATTAATTTAAAGTCAGGTTATAAGCTTTTGTTTCTACAAAATGGATAAGCGACAAGACTTTTGTCAGAGACTGTAAATTGACATAGCTAACCTGGGCCTGATTCGGCTCCATGGACTCTGGCTCCAATTCACTTTGTATTGAAAAAGCGTTGCCCCTCTCTGTGTAAGTGCTGCTGTCAGACTCCTCATTTTGGTCTTAAAATGTTCATATTAACCTGCTCGACATGATCCTGGTGTTTTTATTTCACTATTTCCTTGGTAAATCAAGGTATAAACATTAGTAACAGACAAATCAGGTTGGAACTTGGCTCCAAATTCGCCCCTACGACTCAATGAGCTTCATTTGACCGGAGCCGAACACTATGGGTGTCCACTTCTTCATACAGTTTATGGTTTAATGTCGTACTATGAAACATTTCAGTCAAAGCAATTACATCGTCATGGAGACTAGCATGGACCAGACCCCCCTCTGCAGGAAAAGTTACATAGTGCACCTTTAACCAATAACCTGAGCCAATCCCCAATCCAGTGTGTTGCATTTACAGTTGAATTCACACTCGATTTCATCTTCTTACACAGACACATTGTAGGGTCCTCGCAGGTATTATACCTGGAAATCACAGCTTTATGTAAACAACATCGAAACTTATTTTGTGGGAGTTGACACTGATGCTCCCATTTCTTCCTTTTAAATTGTCACTTGACTTTGTCCATGGTCAAAGAGGGGATTTGGTCCTCCACTTGAACAGCTCCAGTGCACGTGAGCTGGTGGTCCTTCCAGTCCTGCAGGAGAAAATAGAGGAAGACTTTCATTTGTTTCATAATGGAGAAGCTCCAACAGAAAAGTTTAAAAAGTGCAGTATTAGAAAAATAAAAACAAACAGGTGGCAACAATAGGAGAGCTTTGAATACATCAGAAGAAAATAAACCTAATCTTTACCTGAGATTGAAAACAAAAAGTATCTGAGCAAACTACAAATGTTAAACTATGTGAAAGAGAGATAAGATATTGAATAGGGGCGTCCAAAAAACTGAAATATTGATATATCCTATACCGTATTTTTCAAACTATAAGTCACACTTTTTTTCGTGGTTTGTGCGTTTCCTGTGACTTATACTCCGGTCTGACTTATATATTAAAATGTTCAGACTGACAGCTGTGAGAGGGCGCTCTAGTCTTGTGTGCCAGTATCTAGTACTACTTTTACTCCTGTTGCACTGTCACTTCACACTCTACTGCGCATGTCTCCTGTAGAAAAAGCCACTGTCTCGCTGCAAATAGTGAAATATTCAGTCGAAAACGGTAATCAAGCAGCAGAAAGAAAGTTTGCAGCGAGCGAGAAACTTGTGAGGGACTGGTGAAAGGCGGGGATGGTGAACACAGCTTCATGGTAACCAGGCAGGTGCACCATGCAACTTTCCTGGAAGTCACTAGATGAATCGACAAAGCCTGAACTTCAATGACAATCGAAACCATCTAACTAAATAATTCTAACTGGAACTGATGCTGAGTCTGACGACAGCTACGCAGAAGATTAAGCGGCGCTCCGTTTACCTCATGGATCTATGGTTTATCTCTGGAGGTCGTGCAGAAGTGACACCGAGGATGAAGAATTCAATGGATTTAGTGATTTGGAGTGAGATCGTGAGTTTGGTAAACTTATGTTCTGTAGTTTATGCTATAATTATCTAAATAACTGTTAATATGTTACATTAACTTATTAACACCTGTTCAGCCTGTTGTTCTCTGTTCTGTTGTTATTACAGAACTTGACTTTCAAGATGAAATGTTGGTTCTTGGTTGCTGATTTTACAAAATACATTTCCCCAAAAAGTGCGACTTATAGTTCGGTGCGACTTATGTATGTTTTTTTTTCTTCTTCATTACACATTTTTGGCTGGTGCGACTTATACTCTGGAGCGACTTATAGTCCGAAAAATACAGTAATTCAATTGATCGATATATTGAGTATATAAGAGTATTTTTCTGGTATATTTTACAAAATTATTTTGTGAAAGAGCAACAGTTGTGTTGCTTGTTTGGAGAAAGGAAACTTGTTTATGCAATATCTTTGACATTTTCACTGTTTTGATGAGCCAAAATTAGTGTTTTTCATATTACCTTTGCACAAACTTAGTGGTTTAATAAAGACTTTTAGTATCACAGCCATTATTTAGTCTTTGTTATTTACTGAACAACGACAAATCATTTTGATACATATCGAATCGTATTAAATCGAAAGTGCACAGTATCAAAAACGTATCATATCGTGGCTTGTGTCGAGGTATGTATCGTATCGGCAGCTTCTTATCGACACCCAGCCCTAATATTGGATATGTCCAATAGAATATATGGACAGCAGTCAGCAGCACAGATCAAGTGACCACTGTGATGGCAGTACAATATGACCCATGTTTCATCCTTAGGCAAGACACTGGACCCTCTTCACTTGTATGTCTGAATGTGTGTGTGATTGATGGTGCTGATCGGAGGGGCAGATTGGCAGCCTTGTTTCCATCAGTCTACCCCAGGGCAGCTGTGGTGACAGAAAGAGCTTGCCACCACTGAGTATGGAGTGACTGAATAATACATAAAACTGTAAAGAATCTTTGAGCACCAGAAAAAAAGCATTGTTTGTATAAAATGTATTGATTATTAAACAATATAAGAATGTTCCATACTGCATGTGTCTGACCCTCCAGCAAAACACAGAGAAGTCTTTTCCCTTCTCTAGAGTCATGGCACACTTTCTTTTGATTGAAAAGATTCTGCGGTGCACCACCTGACCCAATCAAACCCGATCGAAACTCTACCACTTTCAAATCTGAAAAAGTGATACATATAATATATATAACAAACACTGTGCCTAGGCTTTTTTTTTTATATGGAAGTGATTGATGGGAAATTATTAAATTATTATTATTAAAATCCATGAGTTAAAGAACCTGCATTATGCTATTTTCTGTTCTGTGTTGTATGTTGTTTTCTTATCACAAACAGACCTGCAGTGCACACTGCACTGTGTTTTGTTCCACTCACACGTCTAACACATTTTGAGCTTTAGAGATGTAGACAGACTAATAATAAAGGGTTACTCAAACATGTGTGAATGAAATAAAACTAGGAGTGGGACATTAATGCATTAATTACGATTCATTAATTACAAAGAAAAGAATGCATTAAAAATATTACACATATACGCATTTTATCGCAGTTTGCATGCCAAACAAAGCCGAACGTTTGTCGGTGCACCATGGCGTGGTACACCAATTATACTGGCGCACACAGTTCTGACTACATGAAAGCCCTTTGGGTCTGCTGGATGGTAAACTTCTATTCAAAAAACTACCAGAGGCATTGACAAAGGCACTGTTTATAGCAGAAAAGAGTTTGCATATCACAGAAGCACCTCAACCGTAGAATACCATTAAATCCTAAACATGTGACAGTGAGCACAGAACCTGCTGGAGCTGTTGGCAAGAGGTGTCAGCTCAAACTCCAATAAATAACTGGCTTCAGGAATAAAATTAATACCGTATTTTCCGCACTATATGTCGTGCTTAAAAGCCTTTAATTTAATTAAAAAACGACTGTGCACCTTATAATCCAGAGTGCCTTATATATGAATTTATTGGGGTGTTTTAGTAAACTACAAAGCCGTTCCACTTGCAGCATTACAGCTCCCGTAGTCAGGAGCATCAGGTGTAACACATACTGTGATTCCTTTTAATATCAAAATGCACCTTTCAAGAGACACACTCACAACGCCCACTTTAAACTCAAGGATGTTATAAAGTGAAAGTGTGAGCTGCGTGGGAGCAGTGGATGAGAGAAGGAGAACCGGTGTCAGCGGCAAGGTGGGGCATTTGAGGGCCGTGCCCCCCCTAGCGGCCACTGGTGCCCCACCCCTCAGCACAGGCCGTTATTATTACTATTTTTTAATTATTTTGACTGGCGCATTTCACTTCAGGGTGAGGGCACAAACTTTACTGTGACATCAATGACATCACAGTCTCTGTTTATTTAGTGTAGTGTGATTGGACAACTGTTCTGTCACTCACGTCACGTCACGTCAACCTGCTGCAGCTTCACGATTAGCGGCAGCTAGCTACTTTAGCCTAAAGCTCCACACAGGAAATGGCGACGACAGAGTCAAAGAGTGACACACTGACAGACCCGCCGCCGGGACCCGGGGCTGTCGCTACCGCTGCTGGGGCCTTGACATTCTTTGAAAGGGACCCGGGACAGTCCCCGCCGGGACTGGGGCAGTTGCCACCGGGCCGGGGCTCTCGCTGCCGCCGCCGGGGCCAGGGCAGTCGCTCGCTGCTCTATCCGCCTTTGCCCGCTCGTTTCTGGGTGTAAAAGTTTGACCTGAGCATAGCGCAGAGGCATAATTCTACCTGGTGTCCTGGTGCTGATATGGAATGGTGTAACTTTCAGATTTAAGTGGGAAGTGGGATTAAGACTAATTTTACAACCACTCATGCACTCGGCTCCTGGACCTCACGTCATGGACCAGACTGGACCAGGATTTGGACCAGTTTCATCTCTTCATATTGGACAATAGACTTTTGGAGACAGAACCAGTGGGACAGTGGACAGAGGAAACACTCTGCTTAAGTCTCCGGAGAAGGTAAGAGGCTGGTTTTCATTAGTTTGCTGCAAATCTGAACATGAAGCCTCACAGGTAAAGAGTGTTATAGTGTTAATAGTGTTATAGTATTAATAGTTAAATAGTGTTATAGTGTTAATAGTTAAATAGTGCGTAAATGAGCTGGTGGGTGCGATGGAGCTGCTCTGGTTGTTCTGTCGTGTGCTGTACGAGTGGCATCTGTGTTCATGTCTCTTATTGTAGTTTTGCAGACATTGTTGTGTCTGGGTGTGAGCGGCGTGTTACGTAAAGTTTGCGCTTGGCTGTTCATTGTGCTCTGATTGATATTGTTCAGCCAATAGTAACCAAAATGTCTGTTTCTGGTATTTGTTATATATATATATATATATATATATATATATATATATATATATATATATATATATATATATATATATATATATATATATATATATATATATATATATATATATATATATATATATATATATATATATATATATATATATATATATATATATATATATATATATATATATATATATATAACATATATATATATATATATATATATATATATACATATATATATATATATACATATATATATATATATATATATTTTGGCCTTGGTGCCCCTCCCAAAAATTATACCACCAGCTGCCACTGGTCCTGTTTTAGTCCTGGTTTAGTCCCGGTTCCTCAAGTCTCAGGTCTCTATAGGACAGTACTGGACGGCGCACCCACTACAGCCCTGGTGCTGCCCGTGCATGGCTATTTCTTGGCCGATTGCTTCTTTCAGTGATGTTGTTCAGGGGTGTTTTTGACGAGAGGCTGCTGTTTAATGTTTACAACCAGTGTCAGGCCTTATTGTTTTTTAATAAACCTCAACCTTTTATTATTGTCTTGTGTGGGTATTGTCTACCACACAGCCTCAACAACTACTGCCTAATACTGTTAAAGAAAAACGTGTTTGATAGCATTTCTGCTGTGTATGACTCCACCGCGTTAAAATATTTCTCAAATTCTCAAATGTACTCTGACGCCGACTCTGAGGAGAACACACATTCACCAAGACAGAGAGACAGTGCCGAGCCACTTATGCCACGATCTGCCAACGGATCGTGGACGCCTGGGCTAAGGATCAGTATCAACTGTGGGCCGAGCTTTCACCAAGACCAGAATCATCACTGAACTGTCAGGGAACAGTAACCACACTGACTCGGATAATGACGAGAGGGATGCGGGCGTGCTGGACGCCGTCATCACCCAACTGTTTGAACAATTATGAGTTCACTAGCTAGGACCACGCCAACAAGAACATAGTGCGAAGAAGTTTACTGATAATGTACGAGATGGCTGGGTTGAGACTATGGGTGGGGGCTCCGTCTCAATCTGCAATTGGCCCAGCCGTAACAGGACCCCCCTTGTAGGGACCTTATGACAGAAAGACAAAATAGGGGATGGGAGGGTGGGGTCGAGTTAGCCGAGACAAACTGGGATGATGGGAAAGGCTGCTACATATAGGCTTCTGGGAAATTAGAGGCGTGGTGGAGGTGTACATTTATTGTGAATACACTAACAATTTAGTGTCTCAGACAGTATTTTTTTTTACGCATTACAATTGAACAAAGTTGAGAGTTATTGTGAATGTGTTACATAAAGTTTGACTGACTTATCTAACTGTTGTGTTTCGTTTAATGCGTCTTATAGTCCGGGGCGGTTTATATGTGAAAAAAGTTTGGTTTTTTTTCTTCACAAGAGACAATTTTGTGTAATTATAGGACATTTAAATAACTTGGATTTTTCCAGCAGTATTATAAAGGTGCACTATGTAACTTTTTTGGTTGGGGGTCTGTCACCTTCTTATCTATAGAAATGCTCATTGCTCTACTTAGAATGGTCCACAATACTATGACATTAAACAGATCTATCTTACATTTCTTCAGTTACAAGTGGTTTTATTGTTCAAAAATACCTAGAAAAACAGGCATTCTGACTGTGGGCGGGGTCGCCTCTCCACAGATTTGACCTGTAATTTGGTCTGGTTTGGTCTCCAAACTGTGAAACATTCCAGACAAAGCAATAACATCCATGGAGAAAAGCATCTGACAGACCATCCACCAGAAAAGTTACAAAATGCACCTTTAAAGCACACTCGGATTTCCCCGGCTCACTAGTTTAAAAAGCCTATATTACACTATTTTTCAAACTATAAGTTGCACTTTTTTCATGGTTTGGGTGTTTCCTGCGACTTATATTCCAGTGTGACTTATACATTAAATTTTTCAGACTGACAGCCGCGAGAGGCTCTAGGCTTGTGTGTCAGTATCTAGTACTACTATTACTCCTGTACCACTGTCACTTCGCTCTCTACTCCACATGCCTCCTGTAGAAATAGCCTCTGTCCTGCTGCAAATAGTGAAATATTCAGCCGAAAACAGTAATCGAGCAGCAGAAAGAAAGTTTAAAATGAGAGAGAAATTTGTGAAGGACTGGCGAAAAGCGAGAATGGAGAACACAGCTTCACGGCAACCGGGTGAGTGCACCATGTAACTTTCCTGAAAGTCACTGGATGAATCGACAAAGCCTGAACTTCAATGACAATTGAAACCATCCTGTTGGGATTCAGAAAGGCCAGAATAATTCTAACTGGAACTGATGCTGAGCCTGACAACAGCTACGCAAAAGAGGAAGCGGCGCTGTTTACCCCATGTATCTATGGTTTATCTCCAGAGGTCGCACAAAAGTGACATCGAGGATGAAGAATTCAATGGATTTAGTGATTTGGAGTGAGATCATGAGTTTAGTAAACTTATATTGTTTATGCTATAATTTTCTGAATAACTGTTCATATGTTACGTTGACATATTAACGCCTATTCAGCTTGTTGGTCTCTGTTCTGTTGTTATTATTATAACTTGGATTTCAAGATGAAATGTCAGTTCCTGGTCTCTGATTTTCTAAAATACATTTCCCCAAAAAGTGCAACTTATAGTCCGGTGCAACTTATATATGTTTTTTCTTCTTCATTGCGCATTTTTTGGCTGGTGTGACTTATAGTGGCTTATAGTCCAGAAAATATGGTACACTATTTTATGATCTGTGTTATAATGCTGGTTCTTTATCAAAAACATAAGGCAAAACACTCTGTTCCACCTTGTGATGTCATGTGCTAATACAGGAAGTGCTCTACTGTGTTTCAAAAATTCATAAAACTTCACTAGAGTCATTTGGAATTGCCAATCTCTCCCGAACTAACGGTAAAAGGAGCTGTTAATTTGAAAACTACAGCTACATGACATCACAAGATAACAGAACAGAGCAGAACAGAGAGCTTTGGAGATGTACATGCATGATTACTCAAACATGTGTGAAGCAGAATCCATTTTGTGCAGTAGAGGACACAGTGCCCCTTTAAGTCCATGTATGTATTGTGTTGTGTTCCCTCTGTGTTACTGACCTTTCTCTGACAAAAGTTGGAGCAGTAGCTGACCTTGTGGCAGCCCGTGCACTCGGTGATGGCCACGCGACCACAGTTCACACACATCTGCTGCAGGACAAAACCAGCAAAGTTATACACCAAAAAAATTAATAAAATCAACAACAGAAGCCCTGCAGGGACATTTAAAGGTGTATTGTGTAACTTTTTTTTGTTGGGGGTTCATCACCTGTTTAGTTCTATGAATAGGTAACTGCTTTGCCTAGAAAGTTCCACAGCAAGACATTACATTTATTCAATTACAGATAAAAAACAAACAGGCATTCTGACTGTGAGCGGGGTCGCCTCTCCTCAGATCTGACCTGTAACTTGGTAATTAACTTTGGTCCCCATGAAGAAAGAAAGATTTAATACCCTATTTTTTACACTATAAGGCGTTCAGGATTATAAGGTGCACTGTCATTGAATGGTCGATTTTCGAACTTTTTTTTACATATAAACCACACCGGACTATAAGGCGAATTAAACGAAACAAAACAGATAAGTCAGTCAAACTTTATTTAACGCGTTCACAATAACTCTCAACTTTGTTCAATTGTAACGCGTAAAAAAAATACTGTCTGAGATGTTAAATTGTTATCAAATTCACAATAAGTCATAATTGTTCAAACAGCTGGGTGATGACGGCGTCCATCACGCCCACATCCCTCTCGTCATTATCTGAGTCAGTGTGGTTACTGTTCCCTGACAGTTCAGTGATGATTCTGGTCTTGGTGAAAGCTCGGCCCACAGTTGATACTGATCCTTAGCCCAGGCGTCCACGATCTGTTGGCAGATCGTGGCTTAAGTCGCTCGGTGCTGTCTCCCTGTCTTGGTGAATGTGTGTTTTCCTTCTCTCATCCACTGCTCCCACACGGCAGCAGTCCTTTCACTTTATAACAGCCTTGAGTTTAAAGTCGGAGTTGTGAGCATGTCCCTTGACAGGTGCATTTTGATATTAAAAGGAATCACAGTATGTGTTACTCCTGATGCTCCTGACTACGGGAGCTGTAATGCTCCATAGTTTACTAAAGTCGTACTCAGTGTTGGGGAGTAAGAGATTACATGTACCGGAGTTACGTAATCAGAGTACAAATTATGAGTAACTGTATTCAGTTACAGTTACTGTTTCAATGAGTGGTAATTGGATTACAGTTACTTTGTTGAAATAGGTGGATTACACGGTGGTATTTTCCTGTTTTTACATTTTGGGCTATATCTCCCTTTTTTTTCTCTCCCCTGTAATTTCACTCATTGCCAGACACTATACCAGGTCTAAAACCAGGTCTAAAACATGTCTAAACTAGGTCTAAACCAGGTCTAAAACTAGGTCTAAAACCAGGTCTAAAACCAGGTCTAAAACATGTCTAAACTAGGTCTAAACCAGGTCTAAAACCAGGTCTAAAACCAGGTCTAAAACATGTCTAAACTAGGTCTAAACCAGGTCTAAAACCAGGTCTAAAACCAGGTCTAAAACCAGGTCTAAACCAGGACTAAAACCAGGTCTAAACCAGGTCTAAACCAGGACTAAACCAGGACTAAACCAGGCCTAAACTAGGTCTAAACCAGGTCTAAATCAGGTCTAAATCAGGTCTAAACCAGGACAAAACTTCTTATGTGAAGATATCCTCGTCTTTGTTTCTCTACAGCAAATTAAGTAATCCAAAGTATTCAGATTACGTTACTCACCTTCAGTAATTTAACGGATTACGTTACAAACTAAATTTTGAGGTATGTAATCTGTAATATGTAGGGGAATACATTTTAAAAGTCACCTTCCCAACACTGGTCGTACTAAGACAGCCCAATAAATTCATATATAAGGCGCTCTCTGGATTATAAGGCGCGCAGTCATTTTTTGATTAAATTAAAGGCTTTTACATGTGCCCTATAATGTGGAAAATATGGTACTGTGAAACATTCCAGGCAAAGCAATAACATCTCTATGTAGAAAAGCATTTGACAGATTGACAGACCCTCAAACAGAAAAGTTACACAATGCACCTTTTAAAATTAACATCAGAACATGATTTTTTTTTTTTTTATCTAAACTAAAAGGAGCTGTTTTCAAATAAGTTAATAAAATGACACCCATTACTGTAATAAAAAGTAAAACCAATATCAACTCACACACTTTTATATGGATTTTTTTATGGCAACCAATTATGACTTAAGAAATATTAAAATTACAAATGTTTTAAACCATTTTCTGTATTCATGGCCAGAACTGAATTGTAATAACCCTGAATTAGAATTTAAAAAAAGATTTCTGTTTTTTACATCCATCTAAAACAGTGAAGTAAACAGGAGGACTAACTACGTAAAGAAGTTCACAGGGGTTAAAATGCTGATGAATGGTGACAGCCGGTACAGGGAGCAGACACAGAATAGGCCTCTTACACGCACAGAAGGACTGCTTCATGTTCTCTGTGTGAATACGTGTTTGTTTTTCTTACGTTCATAATGATCTCGTTGAGGTCCGAGTTCCTCTTGGGGTCTGAGTCGTCTGAATGAGGAAATCCCAGCTGAGACTCAAAAGACTGGTTCAAGGAGCACTGAGAGAGGGAGAGAGGGATACAGCCTGTGTCATCCTGTTTACGATCAATGCTCCAATCAATGACAAACTTTGTGTAATAGAAAAAAATAATAATACAGTGAATTCTGAAACCACTCATCTTATTCACAGTGTCTTTAAAAACATCACTAGTTGGTGGTTTTCAGATTTCCCACATGGGAGCAAAGGTCAGATTTCCTATTGATCACATTGTACTTTGCCACGGACTATCCAAAAGATAAATTCACAATGTTGAACCTCATCATTTTTATTATGGACCAACAGAGCCGGATCTAACCTTCAGGGGGCCCTCAGCAAAATTTAACTTAGGGGCCCTTGTCACTGCAGTGCCACTCGGGCTAAACTATGGATTATTATTATTATTTATTATTATTGTAAACACGACGCACACAACTGTCACTATCTTCCTGATGCATTTGAATGTATTCCAGTTGGCTGAAGTGTGATAACATTTATGAATTCTCTGTTATACATTATGAGGCAGTGTCACACTAGGCCCTAAACATGCTCTAGGATGGTCTACAAATGAATACTTCAACATATTACTCTGATTTATTCATCCATCCATCCATCCATTTTCTTCCGCTTCGCGTGGGCAACAGTCTGAGGAGGGCCTCCCAGACTTCCCTCTCCACACACACTTCCTCCAATTCTTCCAGGGGGATCCCGAGACGTTCCCAGGCCAGGCTCATTACATAATATTACAGGCTCACTATCGCTTTGACATCATGAAAACTTCCACTTTAGTGTCACTTCATGATCCTATTATTTGTGTTCAATAAAAGCAGGAAAGGTTCAAATAAAAGCATAGATAATTTGGGTGATTAATCATATTATTATGTGAGTAATATACATGCAACATATGAATAAATTAGCGCAACTCATTAATTATGCATTGGCGCATTCAGACATGGGTCATTCACTTGTCCAGCAATGGCAAAAAATATGTCTCGTTATCAGCAGCGACTCTCACCACAGTGACACTCACCACAGTGACACTCACCACAGTGACCCTCACCGCCGCAACTCTCATCACAGAGACCCTCACCACAACAACACCGCAGTGATTCTCACCGTCGCGACCCTCACCACAGAGATCCTCACCACAACAACCCTCACCGCAGCGACCTTCATCACAATGAAGCTCACCGCAGTGACCCTCATCACAGAGATCCTCATCACAGCAACCCTCACCGCAGTGACCCTTACCACAGAGATCCTCACCACAACAACCCTCACCCCAGCGACCTTCATCACAATGAAGCTCACCGCAGCGACCCTCATCACAGAGATCCTCATCACAGCAACCCTCATCACAGCGACCCTCACCGCAGTGACCCTTACCACAGTGGCCCTCACCACAATGACCCTCGCTGTAGTGCCTCTCACCACCGCAACTCTCACCACAGTGACCCTTACCACCTCAACTCTCATCACAGAGACCCTCACCCCAACAACACCGTGGCAATTCTCACAATCGTGACCCTCACCACAGAGATCCTCACCACAATGACCCTCATCACAGAGATCCTCACCACAACAACACTGCGGCGAATCTCACCGTCGCGACCCTCACCGCAGAGATCCTCACCACAATGACCCTCACCACAATGACCCTCACCGCAGTGACCCTCACCACAGAGATCCTCATCACAGAGATCCTCACCACAGTGACCCTCACCACAATGACCCTCACCGCAGCGACCCTCACCGCAGCGACCCTTGCCACAGCCACAGTGACCCTCACTGTAGTGGCTCTCACCACAACAACCCTCACTGTAGTGGCCCTCACCACAGTGGCCCTCAGCAGACTAAAGGGGCTGAATTGTTGGAGTGAGGCAGAGGCAAAGACAACAGACGCGTGTGGTTAACTTACACGGGGGCGGCAGTAGCTCAGTTGGTAGAGCATTCGCCCACTGATCTGAAGGTTGGTGGTTCGAACTAGGGATGGGCATTCGATGAAATTTTCTTAATCGATCGTCAGAAGAATTAATGATCGATTATCGATTAATCATTAATGTTTTTATATTAAAATGATCATCATTATTATTACTATCTGCACTACTAAACTGCATAAATAAATTCAACTTTACGACATATAAACCTTAACGACTCTAGAGCCACATCAATCCGTTTGACATTATAATGTATAATTCAGTTTTGCGCAACTCTCACAGAAACGAAACTTAAAAACGCATCGCTAATTAGCATAAACTCAGCGAAGATAAAACTACAGCTCTTGTGTCGCTGATGCGGTCAACTTCTGTAGGATTAAAAGACATGACTCAGGTGAATACAGGTTAGTGTGACCAGATTTGCGTTTGTCAAAACCAGGACATCGTACGGGGGGAGGGAGGTGGGGACTCGTCATCGACATTGCGCGACTCTCACCTGGTAAAACTTTTTCCCACTGGACACTGAAACATATGTTCGTACTTAATACACTGGGCACATGGACTCACACTTGTCCCGAACGCAATGGAAAGCGTGGATTTTCTTGTATAAGTCATCGTTAAATACACATTTGTGCTTCAGTACGTTGCAGACTGACCGACTGTTTGTGTCTCGCTCCTTCTGAGTGCAGAGAGCTACATGTACGGACCCCTGTTTGATCACGCTACGCACAGCAACCTACATTCGGTTTGTCGATTAAAATGAATGTAATCGATGAAATTCTTAATGATCAATTATCGATTAATCGATTAATCATGCCCATCCCTAGTTCGAACCCAGCTCTCGACATAAACATCACAGGTTGAGCGGTCAGATCCACTGACCCACAGGTTGGCTGGTGTGATTCCAGCTCCCACAGATGAATGCTGCTGTTGTGTCCTTGGGCAAGACACTTAACCCACCTTGCCCACAGTGTCTGCGTACACTGGTGTGTGAATGTGTGTGTGAATGGGTGAGTGGTTCCTTGTTGTAAAGCACTTTGAGTGCCTTGAAGGTGGAAAAGCGCGATAGAAAAATGTGACCATTGTGACCACCAGGCTGTCGCTGAGATGTTTGTGAGCGAGCGAGAGGGGAGAGGGGAGGGGGGAAAGCAGTGTGTGTGTAAAAGCAAATAGTGAATAATACATTTAATAATTAGTTCAAATGTAGATTTTTCTTGTAAACTTACTGAGTTCTAGGATCTTGTCACTCATAGAAATGGTTCAAGATTTGTGAATTCACTTTTCAGATCCTCATAATAAAAATGCCATGTAATTAATAAGGAAACCTGCCTCTGGGAGTATGACCTCATCACATTCTACAATTTGAAAACCAGCAATTGTTTCCACATGTAAGCCCAGTGACTTAACTGGATTTAAATTCTTCAAGAGGTGCGTGCAGGAAAGGGCTTTAACGAGATTGGTCAATGGAACGAGAACATAAGCATTGGTACAACAATAACATGCTGAACCATTTCCAGATGTCCACACTGGTACAGTACTGGTACAGTACTGGTACAGTACTGGTACAGTACTGGTACAGTCAAGTTGTTTACCAATTACTGTGAGGTAAGCAGCCAGACCATAATCCCTCAGTCTGACTTCTGGGCTTTATTATTCTAATACTGTTCCAGTTGCACACACATCTATTTCCCCACTGTGGCACAAATGAAGGATTTCTCATCTTAAAGGAGTCCTATGGAACTTCTGTACCACTGTATAATATTACACCTTAAAACACACAAACACTTGATTCATGATGACTAAAGCGTTTATTAAAGGGCCCATTTTTTGCTATTTTATAATCTGAGTTGTTTCATTCACACATGTTTAAAACACAAAACTATATTTTGAATGAGTTCTTCTCTCAGACAGAAAACACTATTTTCCACCTTGTGATGTCATGTGGTAATACAGGAAGTGCTTCACTGTGTTTTTAAACTCCACACACCTTCACTAGAATCATTTGGATCATTTCAGACCTGGAATTGCCGATCTCTAAAGACCAAAGCGTAGCTGTTAACTTGAAAACTCCCACTTCATGACATCACAAGGTGGAATAGAGCATTTTGAAATTTGAGCTTTGGAGATGTACACAGACTAATCATGAAGGGTTACTCAAACATGTGAATGAAACAAAACACAACTCCAATTCTGTTTTGGAGGATGTCACAACATTATATCATTACATGAGTGATATAGGACCTTAAGGCTAAATAAGGTGTGGTTATTATAAAATGTTACCAACTTTTCTGGTGAGGAGTCCGCCACCTGCTCGTCTCCATGGGAATGTTATTGTTTTACCTGGAATGTTCCACAGTACCATAATAAATGTATTGGGCATTTAATTATATTTTCAGTGCTCAAAGCACACATTGCAAAACTGGTCTCCTCTCCACAGATCTGTGGTGTCACATCCTCATCTCCATGGAGATAGGTAAATTTAATGCCATACTGTTGAACATTCCATACAAAGCAATAACGTTTCCATAGAGACAAGCAGGTGGCAGGCCCCTCACCAGAAGTGAGACAGCACTTTTAATCAGTGAGACAGATAAATAAACAGGATATTCTAGCTCAGATAGGTCTGCCACAGTAACCTTTTGAAGTACGACATATCGCTGACTATGGACCAGTGGACTCACTTGGTCACTGCATCCAACAGATCAGTGTGTGGATGCAAAACAACTTTCTCCAGCTAAACTCTGACAAGACTGAAGTCATAGTGTTTGGTCCACAGAAACAAAGGGACAGTGTCAGCACCTCCAGTCTCTCTCTCTAAAACCTTCAAATCAGGCAAGAAATCTAGGGGTAATAATGGACTCAGACTTGAACTTTAACAGCAACATCAAATCAATAACATCTGCAGCCTTTTATCATCTTAAAAACATAGCAAAAATCAAAGGTTTACAGTCTAAATCAGACTTGGAGAAACTTATCCATGCGTTTGTCTCCAGTAGGTTAGATACTGTAATGTTCTGCTCACTGGTCTCTCCAAACGAGCTGTGAGACGCTGCAGAACATCCAGAATGCTGCAGCTCGGGTCCTTACTCGAACTAGGAAGTACGAGCACATAAGTCCTGTGCTCAGGTCTCTGCACTGGCTCCTGTGCCTCAGAGAATAGTCTCTCCACGGCCGAGCACCAAAGTACATCTGTGACATGTTAGTGTCATATGAACCATCTCGCACTCTGAGGACCTCAGGGACCAGCCTCCTGCTGGTGCCCAGAATCAGGACTAAACAAGGGGAGTCAGCGTTTCAGGTTCATGCAGCTAAAACCTGGAACAGTCTTCCTGAACATGTGAGACAGACTCTTCTGTGACGCTGTTTAAATCCAGGCTCAAAACATTTCTGTTTGACTGTGCATATAACTGAAAGGTTTTCATTCCGCACTCTTCTTCTCTCTTTAATTTTAATCTTCATGATTATTTATGTTTTGATTTGTTTTTATTATGATTTTATTGTATTTCTTATTCTGTAAAGCACTTTGAATTACTTTGTGTACGAATTGTGCTATACAAATAAACTTGCCTTGCCTTGCTGAAGAAAATATTGACGATAAAAGATAATATTGAAACTAATTAATGCCACTGACACAATGGGCCTCATTTATGAATCTTTTTGCATATGAGTGCGCTCTGGTCATGGGGCTGATGAGGGTGATGGGGGTGATGGGGTGATGGGAGTGATGGGAGTGATGGGAGTGATGAGGGTGATAAGGGTGATGGGGGGGGGTGGGGGGTGATGAGGTGATGGGGGTGTTGAGTCCAGCGCAGTGACCTCTGTGACAGACGCCCATATGGAGGCACTGGGGCTGGGACAGAATAAGGCTCACTGCAGCCTGGAGAAAGTCTGTTAGATCAAACAGACCACATGCTCTACAAAACTCCTCATAAACATTATTGGATCACATAGTCTGTTCTGAGATTTGTTCTTCCAGAAGAACATTTTCAGTTAAGTAAACTGTGAATGCCAAAAATATTGGTAAGAAGGCCTTAAGTACAAATTTGTTTGTAAGAATGATTCATGAATGAGGCCCAATAACTCTAAATTAGAATTCTTCCCAAAATCCTATTCTAAATGTATAATATGGTTAAAACACAAACTGGACAAAATTAGCCAGGCTGGTGCCACCTAGTGCCTCCGCTCAATTTCTCTCCAGCAACTAGGTCAGGAATCAGAATACACTAGACGGTTCGCAAAAACCCTGAAAGTGCAAGCTCGGGGACCGACCAGCAAAGAGTGATATATTCAGTGTTGTCAACAATTCTCGAGATCGAAGGTTTAAAGCCGTAATAAAGAGAATGTTTGGTGAATTTCATCAATGGGAAAGACGTTATTGCCCTTCTTCCTTAGGGATTTGTGAAAATCTTAATATACCAGTTAGCCTCGTTAGCGGTGCATTACATACATCACAACCAAATAGCAGCGATTGGTTAAATGATAAAAAATACCCGGCTACTGTCAAGCGAACGAAATCTAAGGCTGCGAGGTTAGACGGTTTGAACGAAGTGAAATGAAGTAAAGCTGGCTGATGAATCAGGCTAGCACTAAATAACTAGGAGAAAGAAACACCAGTAGTTAGTTAGTACTGTGTTTGAATCTATAATGAGTCAAAGAAGTTATTTATTCAACCCTCTACAGCTCAAATATAATCTTAAAACAGGAAAAATAACAAAAAGTTCCCCACTATTAAGAAAAGTATAAATATATTGTTCCAGCTTTCAGTCGATATAGTAATTATCATGACAGTCCTAACAGTGGTCTAAAAAACAGGTCTAAAACAGGACGACACTGTAAATACACTGGTTCAAAACATGGACTAAACCAAAAGAGAATAAAAATGTGTATTAAACTGCCAACTGAGCAAATGGATGAACTGCGTACTACCTGAAGGATCTTACCTACCACAGTTCTAGTTCACATTTGGACCACCAGGGGACTCACCTCTCTCCTGGACTCCTTCCCCAGCGCTGCTCCCTGCTTGGCCTGTTCGATCAGGCTCTTCAGCTGCTGCACGTTGCTCAGTAAAGTATTGGCCATCTCCTCCAGGTAGATCCAAGTGTTTTTGTCCACCTGGCTACCCGTGGGACTGACTCCGCCCACCGAGCCCACTTCTAACGTTAGCCCTGCCCCTTGGTGCGATAGACCCGCCCCTTGCAGAGAAGAGCCCGCCCCCAGAGACACTTTGGTCTGGACCGGTTGCGGGGCTACGGCTAATGCAGGTAGAGCCGTCAACACTAGGGGAGAAACAGAGACATGAAAATATATTAAGATTCAACACTGTTTATGCCTACGATTTTATATGTGGACATTTTACTTCATCTGTGCAGTATGTATCTGAAAAAATACTCCCATATTAGACTTTTTCTGATCAATGTTCTAATGTTGTTTCTCATCACTAACAGACCTGGAGTTGTTTTCATTGTGATCATCTGGATAATTTCAGCTGTGGAATTGCGAATCTGTTCTAATCAAAAGGTAAAAGGAGCTGGTAACTTGAAAACGAGTGCTTCACGACATCACAATATAGCATTTTGTAGACAGACTAATGAAGAACTATTCAAACATGTGAATGAAACAAAACACAAATCTGGATGTGTTTTAACATGACTAAAGCTCACAAGAATCAATTTAATTTGTAATAGTCTCAAAAATTTTATGGCTTTCATAGTTAGTAGAAAACTTAAATTATTAAATAAATGTTTGTAAATCAGACCGTTTTAAATGCCCTGAAATTATCTCAAATTGAAATCCCTGAGGCCTCAGTATGTAACCTTTCAGCAAATAAATACATTTAAATAAAAGCACCTTACTGTGAACGGGCTTGCAACTCCACAAACCTGATTCTTATCTGGAAATGGAAATGTTGTTCCTTTTGGCCATAATATTCCCATGTGCCTTTAAGCTCTAGTTAACGACCAGCTTAGCGATACCTTAAATTGGGTGTTAAAGCAGTGAACCGTGGATAGACCTTGTGAAGAATGAACAGACCTTGAATTCTCTGCAAAGGGCAATACATCTCCTAAATAATCAGCTCCATTTAAATGGATTTTCCAGGTGCTATTAATCTTTGTGCTCTAGTATGTATGCTAGTGCGGATGGAGTCACTGCTTTAATATTACTATACATTATTTGACATTCTCAGAACTTTCCCATGATGCAGTTCCTCGCATACACATTTACTATTATTTAACAGTGTCATAAACAGGACGGCAACTAACAATAATTTTAGTAGTAGTGAGCTAGTCAAACCTTTATTTCTATTGGGTACCGTATGTTTTGGACTATAAGTCACTCTGGAGTATAAGTCGCTCCGGACAAAAAATGAATAATGAAGAAGAAAAAACCTATTCAAGTCACACCGGATTATAAATCGCACTATTTGGGGGAAATATATTTTATAAAATCAGAGACCAGGAACCAACATTTCACGTTGAAAGGAAAGTCATAGTAATAACAATAGAATAGAGAATCTCTGAGAATTTGTGAATTCCGACAGGATGGTTTTGGTTGTCACTGAAGTCCACGACTACCAGGAAAGTTGCATGGCGTTCCCTTCCAGTGTCACAAGTTTCTCGCTCACTGCAAACTTTCTTTCTGCTGCTCGATTACCATTTTTGGCTGCAGATTTCGCTAGTTGCAGCTTGTAATCTGCAAAATATGATTTTCTTTTTGGGGGATTTTGTTCAGTCTTCTCAGTCGTCTTTATAAGTTTGTTAAATGTTAAATTTTCAGTGGTGCAGAAGTAATGGTGCAACTGACACAACAGGCTCTGCAGGAGACATGTGCAGTAGAGCCAAGTGACAGTGGTACAGGAGTAACAGGCGCAGCAGATACTGAAACACAAGACGAGCCTCTCACGACTTCAGTGTAAAAATTGTCATTTATAAGTCGCACCAGAGTATAAGTCGCAGGAAACACTCAAACCATGAAAAAAGTAAGACTTATAGTTTGAAAAATATGGTACACATTTTAAACAAAGAACAGTTCAAATGTGGTGACTGATGGATTCTAATTAAAGAATATTTGCAAATAAAGTGTATTATAAATGAAAATCAGAATCATTTGAGCAGGTATCAATACAAAAATATTGACTGGAACAAAATTAGCCTTTCTGAATTTCTTTAGAATGATGTTGAGCTGTATCAGAACACGTATAAGAGCACAAAGACTAGTATACACCCATGGACCACTATGAACCTACCTGGACCACTGAGAGATTATACACATATAGTAAAAATTAAAAAACGAAATTACTATTATTTCATGTTTTAAAATGGGCAACAGTAGCTCACTTGGTGTTTGACATAAACATCAGTGTGATTCCACCTAGATGAAAGCTGTCCTTGTGTCCTTGGGCCAAACAGTTAATGATTAATTAAGTTATTCCTCACTCCCAGTGTCTGCATACACTGATGTGTGAATGTGTGTGTGTGAATGGGTGAGTGGCTTCTTGAGGTAAAGTGCTGTGAGTACCTTGAAGATGAAAAAGTGCTGTATAAAAATGACAATGACCATTTACCAAAATCACATTCTACTGTCAGAATAATTTGATATCATTATTATTATTATTATTATTATTATTATTATCATTGTGGTATCAGAATCAGTATCGAGTATCGGGACTATTCCTTAGTATCGAAATTGAGTTTGAAATTTTAGTATTTTAGTACTTTATACTTTATTTTTTATAGTTGAAGAGTCAGAATTAGTTGATTAATCATTGCAGCCCTAATTACTTAAACATCCCCCAGACTTTTCCAATCATGCATTTCCTTGTACACCGGTTTACTGTTATTTAATACTGTCTTAAAGCGTTCTAACAGGATGAGTTATATCCACAGATTAGGGCTATTTCTCCCCAAACGCTGTTAAAATGATGAATGAAGCCGTGTTCCCCACAGCACTTCTCCGATCACAGCGTCTGATCGATGAGAGGCTATTTTTAGTATTTCTGTCACACTTTTTCTCGTTTTGAAGAACAGGAACTGAAGACAGGCATGGAGAGGAAGATAGAGGGATATATATATATATATATATATATATATATATATATATATATATATATATATATATATATATAATATATATATATATATATATATATATATATATATATATATTTCCTTTTAATAAGATGGTGGGGTATGTAGGTCACCCAAGCAGACACGCTAACACTCCAGGTGGCTTTTGATTGGTCAATTTTGAACAATGCTGAAGACTCTAAATTGGTCACAGCAAGTATTGCACAAGCTGTTAATGATGTCCAAAAGTTGCATCACTAATTAAAAGCCCACTGTGTATGGGTCTAGGTGGGGGATCTGAGATTTTCCACCAAATGGCATTAAATATAGCAATCTCCATGGAAACTGGTGTTGTCACGATAGTACAATTTCCAACTCGATTTCAATGATTATTCACAACATTAAATCACAGAACTTTCTTTTCTATTCCCATGTGACCAAAAATCTGTGTAATCCCTCAGTGGTCCAGGTATGTTCCATATGGGTCTGATACAGCTCAAGATCATTCTAAAGCTGTTCAGGAAAAGTTCATTTTTGTCCTGTCAATGTGACTTTTTTAGTATCAATACTCAAATGAGTATCTAGTTTTGGTATCTGATTGTCTATACTTTTGACAACCCTTAGCAGGTATCACCGGCAAACCAATAAAAACCCCTGTAATTGAATAAATGAAAGACAGACAAGTTTGTGGAATATTCCAAACAAAGGAGTAATATTTTCATGAGACAAGCAGGTGAGGGATAGCCTGATTCATCAGTCTGACCTCGCGGCATTAGGATTTATTCGCTCAACGGTAGACGGGTACTTTTGTTATTTAACCTATCGCTGCTGTTTGGTCGTGATGTATGTAATGCGCCAAATTCCATAGGAAGAATTGCAATAACGTCTTGCTCTCTGATAAAATTCACCAACATTCTCTCTGTTCTGGCTTTAAATCCTCAATCTCGGGAATCGTTGCCAACACAGAATGTATTTCTTCATCTATATCCATCTCGACGTTTTGTTTATTGTTGTGCTGTACCACAAAGGGACCCAGACAGATGCGACGAGTTTGACGTCATGGCTTCACAGGTCTTCTCTGACTGGCCGGTGCGTGGTCTACAACTTCTGGGGTTCTTGCAAACCGCCTAGTGTATTCCGATTCCTGATCAAGTTGCTGGAGAGAAATGAAATTGAGCGAAGGCCGGTCTGGCTAGGTGATGGACCTTCCACCACAGAAATTACAAAATGCAACTTTTAAGGTATACTGTGTAACTTTTCTGGTGGAGGGTCTGTCAGATGCTTTTCTTCATGGAGACAGATGTTATTGCTTTGTCTGGAATGTTTCACAGGTGATAGACCCCCAAATAAAAGTTATATAATAGACCTTTAAGCATGTCTTTTTTCTCAATAAATAAATTTAAAAAAACTTATTATAGTTTAAATTATAGTTAACCCATCTGTTTAATTAACACAAATTTTCCTTCTCCCTCCTATGACTGATGATTTGAGTGAATGACAGATAGGGATGCACCGATAGTGATAGCAGCTTTGAATATCAGCACTGATGTTGAAAAATGAGCTAAATTGTAATGGAATGTAATAAGACGGATTTTCCTAGAACGTAAATAAATGTAATAAGTTAACAGTGCTTTAAAGAAATAAAGTATTAATATTGATATCGGTATTGAAAAAACTGGATCGGTACATCCTTAGTAAGAGGTGGATTTAACCCTCAGAAGCAGCAGAAGCTTTAGTTACATGTGTTTTACACAGGGTAAAAGGTAATGCATGAGTACTCCATCACACTGCTTCGTTAACAAGTACAGCAGTTGCTTAATGTTTGGCGTTTTTTCCATCAAAGTAACAAGGTAAATTAACTGGTCACTTTTAAATCCTACCCTTCACCTAGCACTGGCTAGGCATTTGTTTTCATTAATAGAAAAGAAATCCAATCTGCTGTTAGACCCTCCCACAGCATTAAAAGTATCCAATCAGGAGCCGGCAAAGGTTTAAGGGGTGATGATGGATGGCCCAGTGAAGCGCGGAGCTGCCGGGGATCATGGGAAATCCCCAGGACATCTCATTAAAACCAGAAAGACGTATACTTTTATATGAAGGACAGACCAGACAATTGATCAATGCAATAATGACTTTGAGTTAACTTTGAGCAGAGGTTTGGACACCAGGGAGGCATCTATATGTCAACATTTATCTTTCTATGTTTAGGAGCAGCATTAAGAAGAAACTCGAGGTAAAAATATAAACATTATGTAAATGTACATAATTAATTTAATTGATTTTTCTGATCTACGTTATAATGTAGTTTCCTCATCACAAACAGAGCTGCAGTGTGTTTTGCTTCATTCACACAAACCCTGCATATTTAGGGTGAGTTCTTCTCTCAAACTGAAAACAATCTATCCACCTTGTGATGTCATGTAATACAAGAAGTTCTCCACTGCGTTTTTAAACGCCATACATCTTCAATAGAATCATCTGGATGATTTCAGATCTGGAATTAGCCAGGCTGGCAAGACCTAGTATCTCCACTCAAGTTCATTTCTCTCCAGCAACTAGTTCAGTAATCAGAATACAATAGACAGTTTGCAAAAACCTCAGAAGTGCGATTGGCACCAGCCAATCAGTGAAGAGCCATACATTTTGTGTTGGCAACAATTCCCGAGATCCAGGATTTAAAGCCCGAACAAAGAGAACGTTTGGTGAATTTTATCAAAAGGAAAGACGTTATTGCCCTACTTCCTACAGGATTTGGGAAGGTCCAGTTTGCCACGTTAGCAGCGCATTACATACGACCAAATAGCAGCTACTGGTTAAATTTTAAAAAGTACCCGCCTACCATCGTGCGAACAAATTCTAATGTTGCAAGGTCAGACGGTTTTTACAAAATGAAACCGGCTGATTAATCAGGCTAATCTGGAATTGCCTATATTGGGAAAAAATTTACAAGGTAGTCGTTAACCACCACTACCCCTACATGACATCGCAACATTTGAGCTTTGGAGATGTGGACAGACTAAAATGCAAACATGTGTGAAACAAAACACAACTCTTTGCCTTTGACATTTTCAGATAAGAGCCTTTTTTAGTGAAATGAGTAAACTGCTTGAAAACTTGACGGACAATTATGTTTTTCAACCTTTCATCCTGCTTGTCTCCATGGAGAATTTATTGCTTTGCAGGGATGTCCCACAGTATAGTATTTAACATATCTCCAATGAGAGTAAGACTTGAATATTTTTCAAGGTAGTTCTTTACAAAAACTTGTCATACTCAGCAGTACTATAAGTATTTGCAAAAGTAATATTTTATTAAATGTCTGCCATCTGGGGACAAAGATAGTTCACATTATATACTGTCCCTTTAACCTGCGTCAAGGGTCAGAAGGAACTATCCTGAGGATGTGCGCTCACCTGTGGCATTGGTGAAGACCTCGGGGGGCGTGTTTAGAGCAGAGGGTTCTCCCGACGCTCGTTCAAAACTCAAAGTTCCTGACGTTGTGGCAATGTGTCCAGTGGGTGTGACTGTGACTGAAAACACAACAGAGAATCATCTGGACAAATGAGGGTTTACTCCATCTAACAGAGAAGCATCTAAGGATACAGCAAACAAGAGACATGGAACTACTGTGATATGAGATGGAACTACAGGCTTTTAATTAAATGTGTTAATAGACGTTCTTTGCCATAATCCTAAAAGAAGACATTTTGGGCTTGAGTCTGCTTTAAGTTATAATTTATGACACCTGTGGATCATTATGTGATAATTTAGAAATTTAAATCACAATATTCATCTAAAACGACTTCATAAGAGAAAGTAGTTATGACTTCCATGTTAGAAAACTCTGCATCAACAAAACAAAGAGTCATGCACCTGTCGGCACCTCCAAAATAAAGGTGCGATCATGGTTATGAAAATCAAATTGGAGAATGACGCAAGTACAGAGCAGTGGGCGTGTACTGGTGGCAGTGAACACAGGGATAGATCAGAGCAAAGAGGTCTTGAATACAGGAGTATAACCTCAAACATGCACCGATCACTCTAAATACAACTACAAGAGGGAGTGTGAGAAGTGGAAACAAAGTATAACTTGGTTAAAAGCTCTAAAAAGTTGATTTTGCAAAGCAGGTCCACTTTAAGCCTTTAAGTTCTGGAGACAATATCGAAGAAGTAGTATTGGAGCATTTTGCTAAAACTGACGTCACTTAATCACCTGAATATCAGGCGATAGCACGCCTGGTCTAATGACGCATCAGTACTTGGAAATAAACCTGGACTAGAACAGGACCAAACCAAGTCTATATCCAAACTAAAGCAGGACTTATATTTACTTATTTACTTATATTGACTTATATGAGTGCAGTCTTACATGTCCCTGGATGGAGAGTGAGGCTCTTGGGGACGGTCATTTCTTTCTTTGGGGGAATGACCGGAGGATCTCCATCTTTCTTCCTCCTTTTGTACGGGACAAACAAACGAACTGGACCACCCTGAAACACAGAAAAAACTATATAATACAGACATTTTAGGTTTGTGTCATTTCATCTATTTATAATAATGTACCATATAACATATATCAACTAATATAAACATCCACAACTATCCACATAAATGCTCAGGGTCACATGTAAATTAGCATTCCTGCTATAACATGGCACAAGCATTTGTTCTATGATGCTTGTCTTGGTCATATATTGTTGTGCACTTTCAATGTACACATAAAAGCACACAATATCTCTAACTAAAACCAAACTTACCAAAATGATTTGCTCTGATTCTATCTGCTCCCCTTCTTTGGCGCACTGCAAAAAAAAAAAGCAAAAAAAAAAAAAGCAGAAAAAACATACACATGGTCAATGTTAACACAGTTTAGAATTATTCATGGATTGAATGGTTATTTGAGATCTTATTAGCTTTGACATGAGAATAATTTAATTTGCATTACATTACATTAAAATTAATGCAATATGCAAGAAGTGAAGTCAAACAAGGAATCAATGCTGAAAGGTCGTCGAGGATGTATGTTTTCAGATGGCAATCCTAACTAACAGAAAATTACTTTTTGGTTGTAAAGGTGCACTAATTTCAAGATTTTCTCTAGCAATAAAAAAAAAAACATTCCATAATTAAATAATGCCATAATGGAGACCACCAAGTGACAGAGCATCATTAAAGTTACGCAAAGCACCTTTAATATTGATGCAGACTCACCAGAATGATGTCGTCACAGCATGAGGCGCAAGTGCAGGAAGCCGCATGAGGGACCAAGATACGATCCTACAGAAAAACACACAATACACAGAAAAATATAAAAGTACAGTTAGGTCCTCTACATTTGACCCATTCTTTCCCATTTGGGGAAGTGTTTCAAGTGTTTTTCATTAATATCTCAAGATAACTCTTTTATTACTTGATTAGGAGCTTCACCTGGAGGATAAGCCTCTAAATCCTTGTCAGGAGAGTTTTTTTAAATAGACACTGTCAGTTTTCCTGGTGAAGAGAAAATGTTATTGTTTTGCTCTGGAAAACTTATCTATCAAAAAAATATAAATACATTTGGTGGAGTTTTATGCAGTTCTGCAGAACATGCCAGGCAAAACAACATCTCCATGGAGAACAGGAGGTTTCGGACCCTCAACCTAAAACTACATAAATAACGCTTCTTTTAAGGTCCTATATTATGCAAAACTGACTCTTGTGACCTTTAAGCCAAGTTATAATGTTGTTACCTCCTCAAAATCAGACCTGGAGTTGTGTTTTGTTTCATTCGCACATGTAATGTGTATTGCAATGCTGTATTGTTAGTCTGTCTATATTTCCAAAGCTCAAAATGCTCTGTTCCAACTTATGATGTCATGTAGTTTTCAAGTGAACAGCTCCTTTTACCTTTTCAGTAGACTGGCTGGGAGATTGGGCTGACATTATCCAGCTGATTCTAGTGTAGGTGTATGGAATTTAACACAGTGGAACATCCTGTATTACCGCATGACATCACAAGGTGAAACAGAATGTTTCCTATGTGAGAGAAGAACTCATCCTTAATATGCAGAATTTGTGTGAATCAAAACAAAACAAAACAGTGGGTATGTTTTTTGAGGAAACAGCATAACATATATCAGGAACTAGCATGATATGGGCCCTTTAATGTGGATGTTTTGTTTTACTATTTTTATTTTTTACTGGAGTAAGTAACTATATAGCAGAAATGAAATAGTTTTCGTTGAGTATAAACAAATTGTGAGATTTTTATCAGTGTTCACTTGCACACCGAGGCTTTGATCATTATCTGATTACTGGAGTTATCAGATTTTTTAAACATCATATCAACAAAACATAACCCCCAGTATGTTTTTGACAAGGTAATAACATTATAACATGGCTTAAACCTCACAAGAGTCAATTTTGTGTAATACAGGGCCTTTAATTATTGAGTTGTATGGGGTTATTCTAGTTCTTTAATTTTTGCTGGCCTTGTAACTGTACCTGTATGAGGCAGAGCAGAGGTCTCCCGCGTATCGGATGCTCCTCTTCCAATCTTTGCTGCTGGCTCGTCCGGCCAAACCCTCGAACTCTGTGGGAGTGTACCACTGCTGGTTGTGTTTGATGCAGCGCCCTTTGCCTCCTGCGTGCACAATCCATCAAAATGTTTATTTACAGCATCACAACAGCTGGATAAAGTTACAGCCAAGTGTAGAGGTGGTGTGAAAAGAAAATGTATGTGATGTGAAAGTAGGACCAAAAACACGAGTCACGATCGAAAGCTATTCAAAAAGGCTGCAAAAAGAGCACAGGAAAATTCACTTGTTCTTCTCTCTCTTCACAAAAATAAATGAAATGTTTGGACAGAATACAAGTATTATTGGCATAATTCATCCAACATATGTCTACTGTTTAGAGCAAAAATAATCTGTAGTCCCATGACAGATGTTTATGGTGGCCTAAAAACCCAAAAGGACCAAATGTGGCCAACAGTCTACAATATATGGTAGTAAATATGAAGTGTTACCACTGAATTAAAATCTATAAGCAATAACCATAAATACAGTTATTCCCATGATGTAAAAAAAGAATCACTGAATCATGATCAACACCATTTGTTATTAAAGACCAAACCAAGGCTCAACCAAACCATTGAGGGTTAGTCTCAGTGGCATTGCTCCTGATGTCGATGTAAATACACTGATTTTAAATTACAAAATGTCTATAGGATATTATGTTTATTCTTGTTTGTGGTACATAGATATACATAATTTAAAATGATAGTATATGACTGGACCAAAAGTAGTTTAAAACCCTGAATGATGCTTGATAAAGCTAGTACCTGATCCGAGCCTGTTCTTGTAGAGGATGCCGCTCGTCTCTCGGCAGCGCACTGGCAGCTCATTGTTGTAAACTGAAGGGTCCCAGTTGTATTTGGAGCCAGAGGGTTTGTCCTGAGGTGAGAGGGCTGTGGTGGGCGTCTGAGCACCTGACGGGCACACTACAACAGAAAGCGAGAGGCTGATTTAGCTATGTGTCCATGTTGTTGCAAGCAGTATACACAAAATGATTTCTTTTGCCTCATACTGATGACCCTGTATTTAACAACTGGATTTAATACTTTCTTATTATAAACAATTAAATAAATAATTCTGACTTTTAATAATAAGGTTCCCCCACACCGACGGACGCACATGGCAGAAATCAATAAAAACAGATCTTAAATTACATCACGTCAATGGGAGTCGTCCCGACATACAGTTGGTCATAGAGCCACAGAATTCGGTGCACACATTTGTCACAAATAAAAAGAAAGGCAAAAAATATGTTGGTCTTAAAATGTTCATATTAACCCACTCTACATGATTCTGGGGGTTTTATTTCACTAGTTTGTCAGTAAATAAATTCCGGCTCCTAATATAGAACTCTACTCCAAATTTGCTCCTAAAACTGCTCTATTTGACCGGAGCTGAGTGCTATGACTCCCTTAGTTCACTTCTTTATACAGTCTATGATTAAAATATTACTAGGCTATATTTATTACTTATTTATTCTTGTTTATATCACTATAATCTTTTGAGCATAGTTGCAAACTTGAGAACACACCAGCACACACCATTGTATTGGAAGCGGTTGTTTTTTTGAATAAGTTGTTTTAAAATTCAATTCACGACCAGTTATAAATTGCCTCTGTCCTCATGCACCCATGTTAACCGTATTTGGAAAAATCCACATCAAACTTCTGTCTCAGTCTTTTGGTAAATTAAATCACACAAAATGTCTGAAAAGCATTAAATACACCGATCATGGCATGTACTAGGGATGGGCATGATTAATCGATTAATTGATAATTGATCATTAAGAATTTCATCGATTACGTTCATTTTAATCGACAAACCGAATGTAGGTTGCTGTGCGTAAGGCAAGGCAAGGCAAGGCAAGTTTATTTGTATAGCACAATTCGTACACAAAGTAATTCAAAGTGCTTTACAGAATAAGAAATACATTAAAATCATAATAAAAACAAATCAAAACATAAATAATCGTGAAGATTAAAATAAAAAAAGAGGGACATAAATTGGAGAGAAGAGTGCGGAATGAAAACCTTTCAGTTATATGCACAGTTAAACAGAAATGTTTTGAGTCTGGATTTAAACAGCATCACAGAAGAGTCTGTCTCACATGTTCAGACTGTTCCAGGTTTTAGCTGCATGAACCTGAAACGCTGACTCCCCTTGTTTAGTCGTGACTCTGGGCACCAGCAGGAGGCCGGTCCCTGAGCTCCTCAGAGTGCGAGATGGTTCATATGACACTAACATGTCACAGATGTACTTTGGTGCTCGGCCATGGAGAGACTTGTACACAAGCAGAGCTGCTTTAAAGTCTATTCTCTGAGGCACAGGAAGCCAGTGCAGAGACCTGAGCACAGGTCACGCATAGTGTGACCAAACAGGTGTGTACATGTGTCTCTGCATCAGAAGGAGCGAGACACAAACAGTGGGTCAGTCTGCAACGTACCGAAGCACAAATGTGTATTTAACGATGATTTGTACAAGAAATTCCACACTTTCCGTTGCGTTCGGGACAAGTGTGAGTCCATGTGCACAGTGTACAAAGCAGGAACATATGTTTCGGTGTCCAGTGGGAAAAAGTTTTACCAGGTGAGAGTCGCGCAATGTCGATGACGAGTCCCCACCTCCCTCCCCCCGTACGGTGTCCTGGTTTTGACAAACGCAAATCTGGTCACACTAACCTGTATTCCACTGAGTCATGTCTTTTAATCCAACAGAAATTGACCGCATCAGCCACACAAGAGCTGTAGTTTTATCTTCGCTGAGTTTATGCAAATTAGCGATGCGGTTTTATGTTTAGTTTCTGTGAGAGTTGCGCAACACTGAATTAAACACATTATAATGTCAAAAGGATTGATGAGGTTCTAGAGTCGTTACAGTTTATATGTCGTAAAGTTGAATTTATTTATGCAGATTAGTAGTGCAGATAGTAATAATGATGATCATATAAAAATGTTAATGATTAATCGATAATCGATCGTTAATTCTTCCGACAATCGAAGAAAATTTCATCGAATGCTCATCCCTAGCATGTACAGTCCCTGACAAAAGTCTTGTCGCTTATCCATTTTGTAGAAACAAAAGCCTATAACCTGACTTTAAATTAATCGATTGGTTTTAGAAATGTCTCATATGAAAGCTAAAACCCTCCCAAATTATGCTCAATATACTAAAATAAATTTGCTTCACTGAGGAAAGATTGATCATTTAATGAACACAGAAAGGTCAGATTTTGGCAAGACAAAAGTTTTGTCGCCTACAGAAAATTTAACAAATAATTTACTACAAATATATACAAAAATATGTTGCATAACTTCAGTGAATTAAGTAGTGGTGCTGTGAGATCCATATTTAATATCTTGTATGACTTCCATGAGCTTGAAGGACGCATCCACGCGGTTCGACAATGATTCATACAATTTGTTGATGAAGTCATCAGGAATAGCAAAGAAAGCGTCTTCCATGCCTCCCAGAGTTCATCAAGATTTTTTGGTTTTGCCTTCCATGCTTCCTCTTTCATTCTACCCCAGACATGCTCAATGAGGTTCATGTCTGGTGACTGGGCTGGCCAGTCCTGGACCACCTTGATCTTCTTCGCCTTGAGAAACTTTGATGTAGAGATAGAAGTATGTGATGGAGCACCATCCTGCTGCAAAATTTGACCCCTTTTATGGTTGGGAATGTAAGAGATAGCTAATACTTCCTGACATTTTAGGTTATTGATATTGCCTTCCACCCTGCAAATGTCTGGCACAGCCCCAGACTGGATGGAACCCCAGACCAGGATTTTTCCACTACCAAACTTAACTGTTTTCTGGGTGAATCTTGGATCCATGTGGCTCCAGTAGGTCTCCTGCAATATTTGAGGCAGCTGTGATGTAATTCAACCGAGGATTCATCTGAGAAATCCACCTTCTGCCACTTTTCCAGTGTCCATCCTTTTAGCAGGCTGTGGGCCTTGGCAAATGCCACACGGTTTTTTAATTGCCTTTTGTTTAGTGCTGGTTTCTGTGCACTGATTCGACCATGGAGGCCATTTCGAGACAGAATTCTACAAACTGTTGTGGTTGACACAGGGACTTGAGGTGACCAGGCCTGGTGGAGTCTGCTGCAGTGGAAAAGGGGCTGGCCTTGGATTTTCGAATCAACAAACGGTCCTCCCCGAGCAGTTGTCTTGCGGGGTCTGCTGGACCTGGGCTTGTCAAAAACATCTCCAGTCATTTCAGATCTTTTTCTTATTCTTTGTACTTGATGCTGAGACACATTGAAGGTGTCACCACCTCAGCAGTGGATCTGGTCTTCAGCCTCTTGATAATTAACGCTTTGGTCTCAGGGTGGATCTTAGGCATGTTGTCAGAGGTCAAGTTGCAGTTGATGTGAAGGTCTGGTGTGCTGGGGTTCTTTTTATACACACCCACTAATTGATTGATCAGTAACTGATCACAGGTGAGGCTGTAATCTAGGATTGGGTGCATGATATGACAAGGCGACAAGACTTTTGTCTTGCCAAAATCTGACCTTTCTGTGTTCATTAAATGATCAATCTTTCTTCAGTGAAGCAAATTTATTTTAGTATATTGAGCATAATTTGGGAGGGTTTTAGCTTCATATGAGACATTTCTAAAACCAATCGATTAATTTAAAGTCAGGTTATAAGCTTTTGTTTCTACAAAATGGATAAGCGACAAGACTTTACTGTATGTATAAATGTTTATTTTAATCTTTAAAAGTAAAACATTTTATTAGTAACTATTTTAAATCATTGAGTAAATTAAATGCTTTAGAAAAATTATCTATAAATGTAGTTATTTCATACATTATGGTGATGGATCTATATTAAGAATCTTATTATACTTCCATGATTACAGTGGGCAAAATGCTATTATTTATGAATGTCTGTGTAATCCCTCAGTCGTCCAGGTAGGATCCATAGAAAAAGAAAAACGTTTCACAGCTCATCCAAGCAGCTTCTTTAGTTCTGGAGAAGAAAAAAGTCATCGATCAACAGCTGTATTACAGACTCTATCCTGGTGACTCCATTTTGTGCATCTGTGCACCCAAAAATTCACAAACAGGTACCACTCAGACCCATGTTACACAGACTTCATCGTGTACAATGTGTCCAAACATCTAAAGACCATCTTTGCTCCTCTGCTTGGTAACACAGAACACCATATTGAGAATACAGCAGAATTTATTAACAAAGTCAAGCATCTCCAATTTGACCTGGATGAAACAATAGTTTGCTTTGATGTGACCTCTCTTTTCTCTTTTTAGTAGCAGCAAGGAGGAGACTAGGAACCTGGACCTGGTAGAGGTCTTCAGGAAGCCCACACACACCAACCAATACCTGCTGTTTCATTCACACCAATGACTGCAGCACAAACTCTGAGTTATTCGTACATTACAACATGGGGCCCAAGTGGTTCCTACAAGCACAGAGGGGAAAGGAGAAAGAAGAACAACAGGTGCAGAAAGCCCTCTCTGTTTGTGGATAAGTTAAAAAACAGCACAACAGAGAAGCAGAAGCCAGATGAAAAGGTGTAACTATTTCCTACACATGAGGTGTGTTTGAAGAACTTCAGAGGATTTTCAGACAACATGAAATCCCAGTCTATTTTAATCTACAAACACTTTAAGATAGAAACTGGTTCACTCAAAGGACAAAACACCGAGACATAAACAAAGCAATGTTGTCTACTTCCATTCAGTGTAGTGAACACTGCAGTGAGCATTTTATATATATATATATATATATATATATATATATATATATATATATATATATAAACAGCCACTCCGTAAGAGAATGTACCAACACCGGCGTGAGAGCATACTGAGGATACTCAGGTATAGATCTTAGCCAAAGAAAATAAATGGTTTGAGCAGGGAGTGAAAGATGCATTTTTTGTTAGGAAAGATAATGAAGGGCACAGACATGATCCATCTCCTATTTATAACTTCATCCTCAGACCTAAATCAAAACAAAGAAGACAATAGTCATAGCCAGTATGCTAATAGGTGTAGGAGCACCCGTCAGGAGCCTGAACAATTATCCTAATATGATTTAAGCACAGTTCACACTAAGAGTAGTTCAATAGACCTAGCTAACAAACAGAAACTGTAAACAGTGTGTGTTTCAGTGTGGTTAACTCCCCCCTTCTGCAAATATATGGCCGTGTCCGCCAGCTTCTGACCAGAACTGAAGAAGCTGCTTGGATGAGCTGTGAAACATCTTCACTCAAAAAACTTTTGTCAAATTGACAGAATTGAGTTTATTTTGCTATTAATAACTAATGGTTCATGAACCCTTAGTTGTAGTTCATAATGCTTTATAAGCCCTTTATAATACTTCACACATAATTAGAAACAGGCTACATGGAAGAAAACACAAGGTACATTATTTATAGTTATGGTTCTATGAATGAATGAGACAAAAATAGAAATATGGTAATAGGGCAGGGCTAGTGAAATAGTGGTCCACTTGACATTGATGATAAAGGCTTCTTCAGGAGGGATGATATGAAAGTGTAGTGGGAGATGAATGGGACATTAAGCCATGGTCAGACATTTTCAACCTTAGTGCCTCATCCAAAAAGTATATTTTGACCTGCGTTAGTGTGTCCAATGTGCATTGGCTTGTTTAGGCTTAACACCCCAGAGCAAATAAACTATGTACAGCATAGATAGTAAGTGGGACTGGATGGAAAGTGAGAGAAAGAAGGGAATTAGTGAGGAAAGAAGTGAATTGTGAGAGGGCTTGCTCGAATTGCGTTCAGTATGAAAGAGCATGTCTGGGATTAACGTTCTCACGCATACAGAGCTGTGAAAATTTCTCAACTAAACGTACTTGTTTAGAGATAATCAAATTTGGCATGACAGTGCTACCTACAGAAACACAAAATTAATTTTGCTCATCCCAATAAAAAAATCAGTGGAAACCATGTTGTATTTTTAACCGCTAAAAGTGATCTATTACTAAATGTTTCAAACTTTTCAAACCTCCTTTATTCATTAGCATGTACTTAACCTAGTTTGGATCGTTTTGCATGACAGTGGTAAGACATTTCACCTCCTAATTTGCATATTCTACATTTTAATGTCTGCTAAATGTGCACTGGCCCCAGGTCTCCATGTGTCAGGTAAACCCCAGGGACAAGAGGTATTTTTGGTTTTCCGACCTGGAGCAATAGCGGAGGAGGATTTCAGTCCAGCCGCCTCCACGATGCTGCTGTCTGTGTGCACCACGATCAGAGTCGCCTTCTGGTTCAGGCCCTCACCGAGCTGCAGCGTACGCCCACTCTGGGAAACACAAGCAAACATACTTAGAAACACACAAGCCCTAATACACATACATGCAATACAGAATATTTTAGAAGAGATGAGAACTGGGGATAGTGCGAGATTTTTTTTGTACCAACATCTGAAAATATGTGTCTGAAAATTTTATTTGTATAATTTTGAGCCTTTGTTAAATTACATTTTTTGGCTCTATTAGATTTGAACTTTAATTTGAACACCTTTGTCCCTGCCTTTCTGTTTGGTCCATTACAGACCATGTAATTGGAATACATTACAAAATATATTTTACTGCAGGTGTTTGGTAGCCAGGCTGGCGCCACATAGTGCCTCCACTCAATTTCATTTCTCTCCTCCGGCGATTAGGTCAGGAACCAGAATACACTAGACAGTTTGCAAAAACCCCAGAAGTACGAGTTCGGGCACCAGTCAATCAGCAAAAAGCCATACATTCTGTGTTGGCAACGATTCCTGAGATCGAGGATTTAAAGCTGGAACAAAGAGAATGTTTGGTGAATTTTATCAAGGGGAAAGACATTACTGCCCTTCTTCCTCCAGGATTTGGGAAAAGTTTAATATACCAGTTAGCCCCGTTAGCGGCACATTACATATGTCACGCCCAAATAGCAGCAATTGGTTAAATTAAAAAAAGTTCCCGCCTACCATCAAGCAAACGAATCCTAATGCTGCGAGGTCAGACGGTTTTCATGAAGTAAAACTGGCTGATGAATCAGGCTAGGTGTTTTGTATTCTGTAACTAAACACATTTTCAAAGTATTCCTCCCAACACTGAGTATGAATAAGGCTGTGTATGATAAGGTGTTGAAAGCTCTTCGCTCCCCCACTGTGGTTGTTAAAGGCAATAACCCACCAGCACATGTTCAGGAAGACTCCCTGAGGTTGTTGTGGTGAAAACATTGTCATCCGCCCCATGGACACTGGACACAGACACAGCAGTCACCCGTGCCACCTCTGTCAACAAACAAAGCAACAAAAATAGACCAGCAAATATTTAAGCAAAATTATAGTAGAGAGAGTTCTGTGTCTTAATCAGCTGATAGGGAATATATTCAATTGAAAAGAATGTAGAATATGTTGTATTGTTGTATTTCCTCTTCACAAACATGCCTGGTGTTATGTTTTGTTCCCTTCACACCTGTTTAAATCTTGTATATTTAGAGTTTTTCTGTCACACTCAAAACTGTTCCACCTTGTAATGTCATGTGGCAATACAGGAAATGCTTCACTCCATACACCTTCGCAAAAATCATGTGGATAATTTCAGCCCTAGAATTGCCCATCTCTACTGAACAAAAAGTAAAAGGTACCTGTCAACTTGAAAAATCGCTTCATGACATCACAAGGTGGAACAGAGCATTTTGAGCTATGGGGATATACAGACTAAATAATAAAGTGTTACTCAAACATGTGTGAATGAAACAAAACACAACTCCAGGCCTGTTTTTGATGAGGTAAAAATATTTTAACTTAAAGTATTTAATATGTATGGAGTAATAAATGTATAACTAACTGTGTTTATTTATTAATGTAATGTACACTTGAAGTGTGCATTTGATTTTTCACATTAGCTTTGTTAACATGCACATTAATAATCTGATAATTATCTGATTTGTGGTGATTATAGAAATGTAATGTAAACAGTATCTGATGTATTGGATTCACACCTGTGCAGATTTTAACATGAAAAATTATGCAAAAAGGGCAAACTAATGTGCCAAAAACAAAAATTAATGAGAAAATGTTAAAAGATTTAAATATTCTAAAACTAATTCTAAAAATTTTGAAAATGTGATCTATGATTTGCAACTCTTTAAATAACTCTTGTGATTGACTAAATGTCTTAGTGTTTTGCTGTCTTTTCTGTGCTACTGTCTTGTCCAAGACTATCTTGAAAAAGAGAAAAAATACACTAATTAATTGTACTTCGTCCTGTATCTATGCCCCAGGTGCTTGAAAGTCAAATTGATTTTGTGCATGTAAACACACATATTAATAATCAAATCTGATCATTGACTTATCTGGTTACTGTAGTTATATGATTTTTATTGGCCATGTGCATGTACCCAGTGAATTATTATTTTGATGCAGGAGCGCCCCCTAGCCTTCATGTGGTGTAAGCTGCATGTATTTGTGTTGACAGTTTGTAGAAACAGTCTATGGCTGACAGTGATGCTGGCTAATGCTAACTAGCTCTGGGCCTCGCCTGCAAACGCCGCCTCGGCCTCGTCTGAGTTCTGCAGGGACCCGGATCCGATGTCGAGGTTTCCGGGCTCCGTGATTACCGCCATCGCCTGTGCCTCTGCCTCCGACTCCGTGTCCGAGCCTACCCCCGGCGGCCCGTGGATCTGCCCGGTAAGGGGCGGTTCATCCAGCCCGAGCGCCTTCGTGGCCGAGTCGGCTTCGTCCATTCTTCCGACGCACGACAAAAGCCGAGAGGAGCCGAGCCACTGAGCCCGAAATGTGCCGAGGCTGCACGATCCGAATACACGCGGAATACACGCGGTAAGCAGCGAAAAACTTCAGAAAGCACACAAATTAAGGTTTATACGACCGAACAGCGTTTCAGTTAAAGACTATATGACAAAGAAAGAGTGAAAACAAAGCACAAAAGAGAAGCGCACACGTTTACGGTTTGTGCTACAAATGATGAGCCGAGGACTGCCGACAATTTACGAGCCGAGCCGAAGAGACACAGTGACCCCAGCGGCCGAAGTGGGAACCCCGATTAATTGTATATAATAAGATAAGCAGTAAATGCATTTTAAAAAGTGTTGTACAATAGCTCTAAAAAAAACCCCAACAAACTTTCTATTCCACAATGTGCAACTTTTACAGTATGCTAATAAATAGTTCAGGGTTTTTTTGTTTTTTGTTTTGGATTGAGCCGTACTTTTAAGTTTTAGTCTATATTAGTTACAAATAAAAACACAGGACAAAAGTTTTATATTTTATTGATTTAATTTATTGATTTACTTCTAAACCATTTGTTATTTATAAACTATATTGTTAATATTTTATAGAAAATAAATCATATAAAATAGAAACATTTATTTAAAAAACTAAAATTATATTGGTCTCATTTTTAGGCTGTATTAATAAACAAGGTCTGTACGCATTTACAATATTGGGACTGCACTAAAAAATGACCACTTTTGTCTTAAATATCATAAAAGCAAGCAAATCACTGTACATTTTAAACCAGATTGGAATAACAATCTTTTTTTTTTTATCTTTTAAACAGTTATCAATAAATCTCTATTGGTGAACCATGTAGGTTACAACACAGGATAGGAATACTGGGTGCTTCAGTATTATGGAAGGGAAAACATTTTTATTGCAACACATTAGCAACAGTCAATAAAATAGGCCAAAGAATTAGCAGTAACTCTTAGAAGATATGAAAATATGCAGGGTACATAAAGAATTAGTTTGGAGTAGACCAGTCTAGCCCAAGTTTTCATGTGGTATAATTTGTGACTCACTGTAGTTCTGGTTTAGTTGTGACTTAAATCTGGCTCCAACTCTGGTCCTGGTCTCATATATCCATCCTGGTTTAGTCCACCAGCCACGGCCAAGCCTAAAAATGAGTCTTTCTTAATACTTGCACTCAACACAGCTCAGTGAGATTGTCCCATCTTTTTAGTTGGTGCTATCTTTGTTTTTCCCATTCACCAACATTGGATCCAGAGGCCCATTAACTACTCATCTAAAAAGGTACCATCCAACATCCTGTATGCCTGCATTGGCACTTGAATAAATACAAAATGTGAAGTCTCTGTTTTAAATGTTTTTACAGAGTCCATTTCTTGTCAGCGCTGAATCCTCATGACAATATAATACAAAATAAAGAATACTACAACCAGTCCGATTGAGATGTAGCAAAGGATGCGGCGATTGTCCCGACTAGAGCGAACCATAGTTGAAAAACGTTTCACACTTCCAGTCAGAAGACCAGTGGCACTCATGAAGTTTGAGTCCTGCAGAAGGAAAAGTACAAAGAATAAATGACACAGTGATAATTGCTGTATGATTTTAGCAGTTTTTATTGTTTCAGAAGATAGACTTTCTCTCTAGGGAAGCACTTTTTTGTGATTTGGTTTAGTCCTGGAGACTTGCTTCAGTGTTGGATTAGCCGTGGGTCAGTAGGAATCTAATACTGGATATTGAATATACTGTATATATATATATAATACTGTATACCACAAGGGCAAAAATACTGAAATCAACTGTTCCAGTATGAGTTTGGATGAGCTAGTATAATTTTGTATCTGTTCAGATTAAATGTTATCAAATTTTATCAAAATCATTTTACCATGCCATCTAAATAGTCATTCTGATCTTCTGTCTCTCGATCGATGTCATAAGCCAACTGCAAATACCAGAGACATTGGCAAAGTTAACACAAAATACTTAATAGATTTTAAAATTGTAGTAATATTTTAATTTAAGTTTTAGGTTTACAGATTTCAATCTGGACACTTTCGTTGACAAGTTCTCTGCCATCCGTTTGTTCTCAGCATCCAGCATGTCCTCCACAGAACTGTGACCTAGAAGACAAAGGCAAACATTTTGACACAGGGTTATATTAAAGGTGAAATGGTAGAGTGCACCTGGTGGAGGGTCCGCCATCTGGAGATGCTATTGCTTTGTTTAAAATGTTCCATAAAATGGCATTAAACTTCCATGGAGCTAAGTGATGCCTACAGGCTAAGTTAAGATCTGTGGAAAGGGGACTAGGCACTCGGTATTTTCAGCAATACAAAACACGTGTTTGATGTTTGAATAAATGCAACATTAAACTTTAATACCATACTGATACTGTGGAACAAGCAAAGCAAAGCAATAGCCTATTATTTGCAAAGTGGCAAGGTTTGCAACAGGTGGAGGCCACCCACCAGAAATGTTACAAAGTGCAGCTTTAAAGTTTCATCTTGAATTTACAAAATCTGAAGAAGAAATGTTAAAAGTAGACCAAATCTAGCGTAATCACAGGACACAGGCTATGCTAGTGTGGCATGTGCTACACTGGCATTTTCAGTTGTAGACTTTCTACTGTAATAAACGTATCATATCTTTAGTCTAGGGTTAAACTCAGTTTAAAGGTGCATTATGCGACTTTTTGGTTGTGGGTTACCTGTCATCTGTCATCACCTGTTTCTATGGATATGTTATTGCGCTGCTTGGAATGTTTCACCGTATGACATTACATGACATAATAGTGAAACATTCCAGATAGAGCAATAACATTCCCACGGGCAAAAGCATTTGACTGACCCTTCACCAGAAAAGTTACACAATGCACCTTTAACATAACAGTTATTTAGATTGACATATCTAAGGTTATAATATAACCATAGACTATGTATAAAGTCTATGATATGACCATAAAGCACACACATAAACTGTTCTCATGCAAACGGCAGCAAGAAGCTGTTAACATCATTAGCTTGGAATCTTCAAATTCAACGAAATAGATTATTGTTATAACTGAATTATTAGGATTATAATGTTTTATTATTATTATTATTATAATAGCCATCCATCCATTTTCTTCCACTTATCCGGGGCCGGGTCGCGGGGGCAGCAGTCTGAGCAGGGACTCCCAGACTTCCTTCACCCCAGACACGTCTTTCAGCTCCTCCGGTGGGACCCCGAGTAGTTCCCAGGCCAGCCGAGAGACATAGTCCCTCCAGCGTGTCCTGGGTCTTCCCCGGGGGTCTCCTTCCGGTGGGAACACCTCCCGGGGGAGGTGCCCAGGTGTTATGATTTTTAAGAGTTCTCACAATTTAAGGGTAGAATAAGCTAACGAATGTATAATATTATTTCGTTCTTTTCCTATCATAAATATGATATGAGCGCTGCCTCAAGCGCCTAACCTGACCCCGCCATGCCGCATGTGCTGCGGGTCCCGGCTAACAGCTCACCGCAGAGACAACCAGCTTTAACCAGGTGAGTTATAAAAGAAAGTAAGTTTTAAGTGTGTAGCTTTACCGATTTCATGAGAAGTGGTACCATAAAATAATTTAAGAAATTGTAAAATCAGTTAGACGAATCTTCTAATGCTAACGTAGCAAGAGGCTGTTAACATTATTAGTTTGGAATCTTGAAATTCAACAAAATAGATTATTGGTTATAATGGCATTATTAGAATTATAATTTATTTTATTATTATTATATTTTATAAAGAGTTCTCACAATTTAGGGGCTGAATAAGATAGCGAATGAATAGTAACATTTTTGTTCCTAAACTCGGTAATTAAAGGCAAAGGTGTTTTCTAATGATGCTTTTAAAACATAAATTCACATGAATTCGTCAAATTGTTAAAGAATAGACACCACCAAAGCTTTTATTGTACGTTAGTACGTTAATACAATATTGAATAAAATATAAAATAGGTGAACTGTACTAATATTTAACAAACAGTTGTATCCAGTCATGACAACGACATGACAGAATATCTTATCAAAGTGCCTAGTTACATGGTTGGTAATCAAACCCATAGACAATCATTAATTAACACTTTAAGTGTATGAGAAAACCTACGTTGCAGTCATTCATAAAGCAACTTTTGGCACTGAATGTTAAAACATGGAAGTCATAGCTCATACATAAAATGAATCATAAATAAAGACAGTAAATATAATAAGATGTATGGATATCTTAGAATTAAATGATTATATTATCCCATCATTACCCATTACTATTGTTGGTTTCAGATGACATCACAGCATTCTATTGGTCAATATTAATCAATACAAATGGGGGGCAGCTAAAATGAACATAGTTAAAATGTAAAATTATGTTGTATTACAGTGACTTCTAGGGTTTCATCAGTAATTGAAAATACAAGGGTCAGCATTGGTGAATTTACCAAGTACAATGTAATCAACAGGGAAATCTGGCCCTTACCCCATCTGGGAATATGACAACATCACATTAGAATCTGAAAACTACTAACACATACTTATGGAGAGCAATGCATTTAGATCAATGTTATTCTTGTTACTATTATTATTTTTTTGTCTTGCTTGTTTGTTGTACTTTAACAAATACTGAATCTGTCAAGACATTAAATGAATCACGCAGTGGTGATGGACCCCATATTATACTAGCTTGCCCAGCTTCTTTGGATGTCCGTGTTTTTTCCACAGTTTTCACATACTGGCGTACATAATATATGTCAAATGCATGTACATATTTACGTATATGTATAAGTGTGTGCCTATTGTGAGATTATAGTTAAAAATTTAGGAAAAATTTAAAAGAGATAAAATAATAAGAATAATAAGCAATTGGATGGTTTGGACACAAGTTTTTAAGAATGACATAATGCTAGCTTGCTGATGCACACTGTTATTCCCTGTTATAGATTTGGTTTTGGTTTTGGTTTTGGTTTTACGCTTTCGGTACATTTTTAGCCCTGTGTCCTCTGTCCCAGCAGATTGATCCAAAACCATTGATTTGTCCCAGTTTTATATAAGAAATGTCTCAAGTGTCCCTATTTTTAACAAATTTGATCCCTGCCAACAGTAAAGAGAGGCATACATTGTCATGTTTAGGTAAAATACAGAAAAGCTGCTTAAAAATGACATAAACACATAGAAAAAGTGATTACACTGACTCACAGGTTAGTCGCGAATGGACCGAGTGCAGAACAGTTTTCCTTAATTACTCACTTGTTTCACAATTTTATTATTACCAACCACCACAAACCATTGATGTCCCAGTTTTTGATTTTGAAAATCTGGTCACTCTATCCATTTTATACTTTCTCATCTGTATCATTACCGCGGGACCAGTTGGTGCTCTGTGTTTTTGTACGGAGGCTTCAAATCATGGCCATTTGGATCGTAAGAACGGACATATGATCTCTTATCTACCGGCGAGCTGTTTCACTTTCATGAACACAAAGTCCGTTACAATAGATGTGGTTAATGTCGAGTTATAAAAAAGTGAATACGTGTCGCAGAAAAACTTACCTCTGTTCCAGTCCGCCATGTTTGCGTGTGACGTGTAGCTCCGTCTCACGTGACTTTTGTTTGCGGAAACCGAAGCATTTTTCTCTCATATTTTGGTCCTTTGCTGACACCTACTGGGATATAAAGTGAAAGCAGCGCAGATACTAAGGTTTATAGAATATGTCAAAATGTAAAAGTATTGATTTGCATAAAGTAGTTTGGAAGTAATAGACATAGTATTTTTGAAATGGAATTAGGTATTATTCAGGTTACTTTATTTGTCTCAAGAGGACAAATAGAAGTGCATTACATGTGAAAAATAGATTGTTATAAAATGAATTGACTTTATTTTTCCCAGAATAATCTATATAATGTATGTGTCCATTCAATCAACCCCCATAGTCTAAAACAGACTGTTGTATAGACAGTAAATGGCATCAATGTTTCTCATATTTTCCAGGGTCAAATCGTTGCATTTAAATAGTCTGATCTCAGTATAATTGCTGTTTATTGCATATATTTAATCCTTAAGTAGTGTTTTTTCCTAGTAAAGTTACTTTTAAATGTTTATGATAAAACAATGAGCAATAAAGTGTAATTTTGTGATTCCAATGAACTATTACTACTACTAGTAAATGTACAGGTAGTTTTTAGACTATGGGGGGGTACTATAGTCTCCTCTAAAACATTGCACATGTTAGGGTTGTAGCCAAAGTATTGATACAGCAATGAAGAGTTATGGGCTTCTTGGCAATATGTGTATCGATACGAGATGCTGTATTGTAATAGGGATGGGCATTCGATGAAATTTTCTTAATCGATCGTCGGAAGAATTAACGATCGATTATCGATTAATCATTAACGTGTTTATATTAAAATGATCATCATTATTATTACTATCTGCACTACTAACCTGCATACATAAATTCAACTTTACGACATATAAACCGTAACGACTCTAGAGCCACATCAATCCGTTTGAGATTATAATGTGTTAAACGCAGTTTTGCGCAACTCTCACAAAAACGAAACTTAAAACCGCATCGCTAATTTGCAGAAACTAAGCGAAGATAAAACTACAGCTCTTGTGTGGCTGATGCGGTCAATTTCTGTTGGATTAAAAGACATGACTCAGGTGAATACAGGTTAGTGTGACCAGATTTGCGTTTGTCAAAACCAGGACACCGTACGGGGGGTGGGAGATGGGGACTCGTCATCGACATTGCGCGACTCTCACCTGGTAAAAGTTTTTCCCACTGGACACCGAAACATATGTGCTGCTTTGTAAACTGTGCACATGGACTCACACTTGTCCCGAACGCAACGGAAAGCATGGAATTTCTTGTACAAGTCATCGTTAAATACGCATTTGCGTTGCAGACTGACCGACTGTTTGTATCTCGCTCCTTCTGAGTGCAAAGAGCTACATGTACGGACACCTGTTTGGTCACGCTACGCACAGACACCTACATTCGGTTTGTCGAATAAAATGAACGTAATCGATGAAATTCTTAATGATCAATTATCGATTAATCGATTAATCATGCCCATCCCTAATTGTAATACTTTTAAATAATGGTACAGTAATTCATTTTAAGTACCATTGTAATTCTTAACAATGGTCATTAATGTAACTACCTGATAATTGCATTAAGGCTGAATCTCCGTAGCTGAAAAAGTGAATTATTAATGTGCTTTGATGTTAAGGGCATTGTGAACATGAAATTCCAATACAGTTTGTGGTTCTATGTAATAAAAACACATTTTGTGGCTAATGTCGTATTGTGGACCCTGTATCAGGATACGTATTGTATCGTGAAGTACTTGGCAATACACAGGCCCAAAAGATGATATATCTGATTCCGTAGTATCTGCTTAGGTCTGGCAGCAGTTCAAAGGTCACAGTGTTTGAAAACAGGCAATGATATCAGTGTGTGCCTGTGTGTGTGCGCGCTTTTGTGTGAGCATTTAATCCAACGGCACTGCTCGTGTTAATCCGCCTCGTCACGCTGCCACAGCCTCCTGTGTCGTGGCTCAGGAGGGCCAGAGGAGCCACTGTTTTATTCAACATAGTCACAGCGAGCTGAGGTTAAACCAGGCCGATCCACATGCAGCGGTTGTGAGGGCTGCTTGTCTTATGGGGGCCGCTGTTTACAACTCAGACCTGTGACATCTTCTTCATCACACAGAGATATTATGTAGTTTGCTCATTTTGACAATCAAATTACAATATCTGTTTGTTTGTGATAAATTCAGAATAAAATAATAGCTTTTGTATCTATTTGTATTTCTGTTGGTCCCAAGAATTGAATGTAATATTTGCAATCCTTTTAAAGTTGTTTCAGCCCTCATAATGAATTGACTGTGACTTTGGTGTGCTGAAGTCTGAAGTGTAATTGGCTTTAGATTAAGGATGCTCCAAGTTTCATTGATTTCTGAGTAAACTTGATGTTGTGATGCCAAGCGTGCACATCAGCCGATTAAGTGATGCCAAGTGTACCCTTTATTCTTATTGCCACAAACCAATGGCCTCATAGCATTTATAGAGTAGGTTTGACAGATGTAATTCGATACATTTATCTGTAAACCATTTTTAAATAGACAGTATTGTTAAAAAGCCTGAACTGTAACAAAAATAGCAGAATCGATAAGAAGTCATATCAGTTATTTATTCTACCCGCTGCAGCTCAAATGTTATGTTATTAGGTAAAAATGGCCAAAAATCCCCATTATTATAAAGAAAAATAAAGACGATAAATACTGAGCCCCAAAATATATTGCTCTAACATTCATGTATTGAACAATTAGTCAGTATTGTAATCATCGTGACAGGCCAGTCCTTCATCACCAAAACCATGTGATTTGGGGCAGAGTTCAGATGTTTTTGTGTTATATCGCACTGATCTGTTGTTGTAGTTTATGTGTATTAAATTAGGATTTAAAGGCATATTTATTTGTTATTAATAAGAAAAAATGTGATTGATCAATATAGGGTAAAAATATAATCATTTTTTCATCTTTTTTTTTTCAACTTCCTGTCATGTCTGACTTTTTGAGCTCCTTTCCCCTCATTCAGAGATCTAATATTTGCATTCTGAAAAACCCTTGGACATGTTTCAGAGATGAGTGTAAATAACTGGCTGATGATTTTAAGCATTGGCCATAATCTGTGCGCTGTTGTATTTGCTTCAGACCATTTCTTCCATTACTGCACACACGACTGCCTTGTTGCTTAGGAAGTTGGTCCATGTTGCTAGGTGTCTTTTGTTTATGTCTCGAGTCGGATCTGATTCAGACCAATGGAAGCCACTTTACTTTAACCCAATTGTACGGTGATAATGGGTAGTCTTGCCGGCAGCGTCGATGGCACAGACAGAAGCTGGGTCTCGCGAGCTTTGACCTGCCGTGGATCCCTGCTTGGCTTCACTCACACTGGTATTGTATGGAGCAGCAGGCGCAGTCCCCAAGCGCGCGCTACCACAGATTGTCTAATTAGATTAACTCAGGCTTTCCTCAGATAAGCATTCAGGCAGCTCTTGTTTGTTCGTCCCATGGAGCTATTCCGACTTCTCTCTACCTAAATGTTGTATTGAATGAAGCACGGAAACTGTTTTTTTTTTTTTTTTTAAGCTTTTATTCACTGCAGAAGGTTCATGGCAATCTGGAGCTGTTATGGACTGCTTTTGTAGATCTCTCTGATGCTGCGCTCTGTAATCGGACTGATACTAATACCACCTGCTAACGGAGCCATGGGGGAAGTTAGTGTAAGTACGCCCTCCTCTTTCTCTATAATACAATGTAACGGCCAGTCATCTGTATTCAGTTCAGAGGAAATCATTCTGTTTGTACCACTCTTCATTTTAATGCAAACATTGACATATTCATTGGTTTCAGAATTATATAGAAAAATTACCAGTGACATAGTGATTAACAATTTAAAGCAAAATATTATTGTCTTTTGAATGGAGAAAAAGTCCTCAAAATGTTGCATGTGACAGACTGAATTTCGTGAATAGTTGTACATATTGTTGCATTGCATTGATTTTCTGGTTGATTGTTTCTTTTCTCTGTGTTACTGAATTATTGCTGTGCACAAAGGATGAACTATTGATAATAAAGTAAATTATTATTATTATTATATTATTAAAAATGAAGTATTGGTGTTGTACAGTGATGCTCGTGCAGTAGCAGAGGTTCTGACTTCTGCTTGTTGCTAGTATTGGTTGTGGGACTTCCATAGCGGCTGCTCACTCCAGATTAGGCCTGTGACTGATTGACATAGATTATAGCTGAAGGCGCACAGGTCACAGCCTTTGGGACAAAATGAAGGACTTCTCAGATGACAATGATAATGGTACTATGATGACTCTGTGAAGCAGTAAACACTTTGTTATTAGGATTTCATTACTGCGCTTCAAGTATTTCCAGCGAAAATCTTTTGGAATAAAGTCAAGAGCTATTTGTGTTTTATCTGGAGCATTTACACAACGTTTTAAATACAAGTTAAATTTAGTGTTTATACCACAGCTGATCAATGTGCTGCAGGCTGTAGCTAACGTTGGGCTGGCACTGTTGTTCGGAACATTTGAAGGAAATTTTATAATTTGATCTTGAAAATGAAGTTAATATTACAAACATGATTTGTTATTGTTCTGACTTAGACTTAGACAGACTTAGACTGTTGGCTAAAATACTTGTTATTTTGTCATTTTATCAGGTTACACTATCATAAATGACTCTAGACTTCACCTAATTAAGTGGATTAGGAGAAGTCTAGACTACATCTGAAAAGTCATCTAAGACAAAAGTACAGTAATTACAAATGCAGTCATTAGAGCATCATCAGTGCATTTTTGACAAATGCTATATGGGACTGGGACTAAACCGTGCTTAAATCAAGGGCTAATTTGTCTGTTGTTGTAATGTAAGGTTTTTGGTATTTCTGACAGTATTCACATTTTTGATTGTAAACAACTCCAGTAGTGTTAACGTTTGAGAAGACTGAAATATGAACTGATAAACTAATACAAGAATCCCATGCATTTCATGTTTGTAGAGGTCTAAACTACAGGAACAATAT